CAGGGCTCTGCTGCTAGTAATATGCTCAATTTAATCACTCACATTCATATTCTTCACATCCACTTGGCTGTCCCATTAAATGTTCAACTTGGTGACAGTTTGAGCAGATATAGGGGATGAAAATGGAAGGAAATTGGTGTTATGTAAGTAAGTTTTGCCTACTTGCTCCTTGGGAGTCTGCTTTTAAAACTCTGAATGGAGGGAGTGTTTATGCTGCAAATCCTAAAGAGTCTTCGAAAGATTAGAGAGCAAAATGTAGGTATTCAAACAAAGTATGGAAGGTCTTATCAGTCAAATAATTGGAGATCTTTATTTAAAGCAACACTTAATAGGTTTCCCACTTCTCCCTCGGAAAGCAGAATTACAACAGTTGTAAACAACCTTCCTACAGCCTGCTGTAACTACACTAACAACGAGCTAATGCTAACATGAGCTAACTGATCCTAAAAAAGCCACATGCTAAAAATATCCACCATGTTGGACAAAAAATATTATTACTTACATGTCCAGAAGCAACAAAGGCAGGTCACTATCAGCATTTTACTGAAGGTCGGTGAACTGCAAAGCTAAATGCTAGCTTTTATTTGAGCTACCAAAACAGCAAACAGCTATTGCCATAAAGCAGGTAGAGATCTTGCTCTAGTGTTCCTACCCGAACCACAAAACTGTTTAGTGCAGTTTCTGGTCAGCAGATGGCTACAGGGTGCTGTCCAGTGTGAAATAACTCAAGTTTCTAGCTTGATAATCACTGGAACAAATTTGATAGCCATAGCTTAGGTGTGGAACACTGAAAATCCAATTTGTAATTATTTGTGATTATAATTGGTCACTCTTGAGTTTTTCATGCAAGCTGAACATGGAAACAGTCTTCAACACCTATCTCCTGTATTAGCTTCTGATAGAAAATAGGTGGTGAAACTCTAGGAATTGAAAAGCCTGACAGATCTATATCACACTGTCACTTAACATTCATGGACTCACCCATCTCGACGTGCAACGGAGATGGCTGTTGTTGTTTTAGAATCCAGGAAACAGCAGAGAACATCTTGGCTAGTCGATGCAAACTGTTAGCATTAGCAACCCCAGCACACCGTAGAACTCCTCCAGGCTCATGTTATTTGTGGAGATAAAACATCAACGTCGCAGAGCAAACTGAGTCAGTGGTAGAGTTGCGTTACTGTTAGTCGATCAACGGCGAGATGTACGAATATCAGGACTCCAGATCCTGCTGTTTGAAGCTTACCTCTGAACTGGCAATATGCTAGTAGTTCCTGAAACTGGTGCAACTTTTTTTCCCCCAGAATACAACTGTTAAAAACTCTGGCTTTGAGGAATGCATATTCAGATGAGAGGTTTTTTTATTTTTGAAAAAAATCACAATGTTTTAGAGGGCTGCGCAGTGGCACAGCAGCAAGAAGGTCCTGGGTTCGCTTCCCGGCCTGGGATCATTCTGCATGGAGTTTGCATGTTCTCCCTGTGCATGCGTGGGTTCTCTCCGGGTACTCCGGCTTCCTCCGACAGTCCAAAAACATGACTGTTAGGTTGACTGGTCTGTCTAAATTGTCCTTAGGTGTGTGTGTGTGTGTGTGTGTGTGTGTGTGTGTGTGTGTGTGTGTGTGTGTGTGTGTGTGTGTGTGTGTGTGTGTGTGTGTGATTTTTTGTCCTGTGTGTCTCTGTGTTGCCCTGCAATGGACTGGCTCTCTGTCCAGGATGTACCCCGCCTGATTGCCCATTGACCACTGGAGTTAGGCACCAGCACCCCCCCGCCCCCCCCCACTCCCCCGAGACACACACACACACACACACCTTGACCAACATGGCGACTAAATAAACAGGCAGATGCAAAACAACCTAAATGGGATTCAAAATGAAAACAGTGTAGGTCAACAATGGTTAAAAACACACAAAAGGACCAAAAAGTCATTCAAAAGTTTAATTAAACATATCTAGTCACAAATGTGACCACTTCAAGAGCCAAAACCAGCATAAAGAGATGCAAGTAAGAAATAAGCTTAGACAATTTGGGCAGAACTCACACATCTGGCAAAAAAAAAAAAAAAGCTTGAAAAGAAAGCTAATAGGTTGAATATGAAGTAACATAAAAGATGCAAAATGTAGAAAAAGCAATGCACAGTTATGCAAAACAAAGATTACCTATAGTCTGACCTCCATGCATGCATTCACCTGCAGCAGTGAGAGGGCTCTGGTCTGCGGTGTGAGCACATCTTTGTCCATGGTTTGTTGTTTCATAAAGCTTTCTTGTTAGTGCAGAATGCATCTATTTTTGAATGAAACACCTGGAGGAAAGTGTGTTCTAAGTCACGCTGCTGCTATCCCTGAACAGTGTTGGTAGGAACATAAATAGCCTGTACCTGAGGTCCAAACGTTGCCGAGCGTGACGGGTGTGTGTTTTGGCGGCTTGTAAGAAACCAACTTATCACTCGTCCATTTCTTGCATTTTACAAAAGTCAGGATGGAGAAAAAAACATGGGAGCTGACTGTGTTCAGACAGGAAGAAGTGACTACGTCTCCATAGAAACGTAAGATTTCTCATAGTTCACCAGTGATGTGTTTTAACGCTGACACCCAGACCTTTCACATTCTGCATGCTACAGTCCATCCAGTGTGGGGCTGACTCACTTTTTTTTAGTAGAGATCTGTTTTCTTTTTGGTCTCTTCGTAATTTTGAGTCATTTTAAACAGTCGAGTCTCAAAAATGATGATAAATCTTCATGAATTTGCTACATTTTTTTAATTTAAATTAAAGAATCTAAGAAAAACTATCAAATTCTTCTCTTTTAAGAGCGAGCCAAATGTTTTAGGACATTAAAAGCACTCAGAGCCAGCTGGCTCAGCGGCCTGTGAAGAGCTGGAGCCATCCATGTGTGGTGTGCTCCATCTTCTCTGGCAGGCTCTAACAGCAAAGTAAAAAAAACACAACCACTAATTTAATCAGTGAAGAGGCAGGAGCTTGATCCCAACTCACCACAATGTAATCTTGTTACTGAGGCTGTGCTGGAAGAGCTGCTGAGCTGCAGCAGTAAAATCCACTGTCAGTGTGTACGTCGGCTTTTACTGGGCCCATCAAAATGTATGATAATGACCACACACACACACACACACACACTGGCTGTTTTGTTGTGTATTTATGGTGAAAAATGCACAGAATCAGCAAGATGTTTGAAATTTGTGTGGAATGGTTAAAATGGCTCAATTACTGGTTTATAATTAATTCATACATGATTTTACCGCTCTCCTCTCACCTACCGTATGTGTCAGCTGTTTATTCTGAAGGAAAGGTGTTGGACGTCTGGATGTCCTCCATGTTTCAGTCAACAACAGGTGAGTCGTAAGCGCTGTCAGAAGAAACCAGCCTCATCAGGGGTCTCATTTATCAAGCTTGCTTACGCACAAAACGGGGTCGGAAAACTGCGTAAGCAATTTTGCACGCAAACTTTGGGATTTATGATAGAAAACTTAGCGGAAAAATGTGCGCAACTTTAAGTTGACTAAGGACCTGGCTTATGCACATTTTGGACATGGAGAGCGCCTGCAGTGCTGCTGCTGAGAAGGATAAAATTATGAAATCCTGCAGCATTATCACTTGTATCGCTTTGTTTTCACACAGTACAAGACCCCCACACGTATACACACACACGTGCGTGCACTCACACACACAGCCTGAAGCACAGAATACAGAATGCAGAATATCAGCAGGGGGACAGATTGACACAGAATGTCATGCGTCTGTGACAGTGTGTGTCCTGTCACTGTGACCCGATTGATCATGCGCCCTGGCTGAACAAGAGAGATCTCCATTTGGCTGACTGGTTAGCGCGTGACTTTCACCCGGGAGTCTGGGGATCAAATCATGATTGGATCTTTTTTTTTTTTATATCCGCCACAGATCTCTCAGAAGAATTCACAACATTGACGGCTTCAGCAACACTGTGCCACTCCGGGGATTTTCTCTTATTTGTTTTGCAAAAGTACTTCCTTTCATTTCTCCACCTCACCCACAGGTACCTCAACTTCTGCTTCTGTGAAATTGCGCTTCCTTGATCTGCCTTGATCTACGGTCGCCATCGTCATTGGCGGAGCGCTGCAACAGCCGGCTTATGTATATGCATGAGATCCACAAGGCACTTTGCATTGACTATTTATGGCAGTAAGTGGGCGTGGTGAGGGCGGGATGTGACTAAAAAGCAGCTAAGAAACATTCTAGAGTTTCTGATTTATGAAGCGGAGATTGCGTGCAGCTGTGCGTACTCCATGTTTGATAGATCACAAACCTACTTGGCGTAAGTACATTTTTTTTGCTGAGCTTAAGTACGGTTTTAGTAAGGATTCTACGCAATGTTGGATAAATGAGACCCTAGTGCCTGAAATCAGGAAACGTTCACTTCTGTCTGAAATGTCAGCTCAGAAACCTTCTAAAATAAACACCGATTTCCCCTCGTGCCCTTTACGAACACATCTGGTCCTCCTCTATAGCTTCTTTCCAAGTGGTTTGCATCTGATGCTAGGTTGTGAGCTGAACAGGAATGAAACTAAATGAAAGGGTTTGAGTTTGAATGAATTAAACTTTAATTTTATTGCCTCTTATCTACATAAATGCATTAAAAGGGAACATATGAATTATTTTCTTACGTTGAAATTGTTCTGTGGTCCGTATCAAACGTGTTCATGAAGATTTTTGCACTAAATGCCTCTCACATCAAGTGATCTCTGCACTTTTGGTCTTGACATTTCAGTACCTTACAGAATGAGCCATTTCAGGAAAACAAACTGGCACCCCACCCACCACTTCTATGCTCTGGCTACTATTAGCTGAGAAGCTCCGATATGCGGGAGGGGCTTGGAGTAAAGCCGCTGCTCCTTCAGCAGATCTCACTTGCACTGAGAGGTGGTCTATATTCTAATTTCCCTGTTTGTGACATCACAAACAGGGACCTTTTGAAACTGTTTATTTTAAGCAAATAATTCCTAAAACCAAACACTGACAGAAAACAGATGGATCGTTTTATTTTCCACATTTGGAGTGTCTATAGAGGCAGAGACCCATATGGCAGCTCAAAACAATTCAAAAGGTAAGTTTAGCATAAACTTTAAAATCTCCCCCTTTAAAATCTCCTGAAACAGAAGCTCTCCCTACTTTAACAGATTAAAGACAGAGACAGATTTGGTCTCTCTCAGCACTTGATTAAAAGCAGACGTGTAAATAAAGCATCCCAACCAAAACCTTCATATATCTGTATTTATTGAGCTGTCACTCGGGTATGTTAGTTCTCTGTGTGCGGACAAAACCACAGAGCTGATGATGACTCGCCGACCCGACTGCTACTGGCTGTGACAACGGCGCAGACAGAAACCTCCATTTCCCCCTACGCAACACACACTCACTGCCTCAAGTGACATTAGAAAGGTGAACTGTCCTATATTTAAATTACAGTGTGTGAGCCGTTTTAAACACTTTTTAGAGTTTTCACAAACAAACAATGTAGATAATTAATCTGAAACAGGATAGAAAAATAACATCTATTCAGACCCATCATCACTTAGCTTCATCAATAAAACCAGGCTTCACTGAAGCAACTGTACAGTGCAAGGTAAACAAGGTCACTTGAAAACTTGTTAGTTGGTTGGCCGGCTGTTTTCAGCTCCGAGGTGAAATGAACAAAAAAAAAAAAAAAAAAAACACAAGAAGGGGTCGAACTGAGCCAAACTGATCTTATTCACATAAAAAGGCAGCTTTCATTTATCTGATGGCACTAAAATTATAAAAACAAACATACAATGTACTGTTTTCCACTTTTGTTTGGTGGATGATAACATCTTAAAACTCAAATGTACACAGACGCACAAAAGGCGTGATGGTAGTGATTGCATTTCATAAAAACTTGATGATTTTCACACAAGCAAAGGTAAACGTCCTGTTTGAAGAGAAGCTAAAGCTTCTGAAACGCGCTGTAACCAAAAACACTAAACAGACCCCCAGGCTACGTGCTAAGCTAACATGCTAACCTCTTAACTGAAGAGTCGCCTCACACGGTGACTGATGGAACTCTGTAACATGGTAATGTAAAAGTAAAGTGCACTTCACCCGTCTGCTCGCACATGGATGCTTCAAAATAAGCATAATAATAAAGTCAGAGGCTCCACGAGGACAGAGCCCAGCCTGTGCCTCTGTCCTCAGCTCTAACCTGATCCGAGTGACTCGTCCAGCAAACAAATCATACAAGTTTCTGCACTTGTAATTGTCGATGTGCAAATCTTCAGCATTCTTCTGTCTTTAGACTGTTCTAACACCCTCCTTCGCCTCAATGAGAATGTTCCTCAACGAGGCTCATGTGCCTGTGAGCTCTTATCTGACCTCGGGGTCCACACAAGTTTGGGCTCTCCAGTAGAGTTTCTGGACACGAGCCCAAGTCCGTCCCGGGGCTACCTGATCCGCCCGTCACTCTTCACAGGACCCAGCTCAGACTTTGGGTCTGGACACAACGAGCTCCACGTGGTTCTGGAACAAGAGCCCAAAGCTGCACAGGAGGAAGTCTTTGTGGTGCACAGGTCGCCTATGACCCAGTATGTCCCCACCAGGCTGTCCACCCACTCTTCCAGGGACTGTCCCACCAGCTGAGCGTGACGCTGGGCCACCTGCAGGGCGGGCTGTTGGGGGGGCAGCTTCAACACTGAGCTCAACTGCTGGAAGCTCTGATCCAGGTACAAGTTACCTGGAGGTCCTGAATGGAGCCAGCTGTCCTCTGAAAGACAGAAACAACTTCTCATGATGACTCAAGTTTCTGATGGTTAAAATAATCCCACACCAACCTCAGAAACAGTTATTAAAATAAACCCAGGAGAGATTCTCTTAGTTATTTATGTTATAATTAATGATGGTTTTATTAGAGGAGAACTATTTGATAACATAATGGAATAACCAGCTCACATCTAAACGACACACTCGAGTGTTTCACCCTGGTTTTCTCCAGATCACGTCTCACCTTTACGTAGCGGCTCTTTATTATTAAACGTCAACGGCATGACGAGGAAGCGCACCTCGGCCACGTGCTTCCATTGCTTCAGCACCCTCACCGTCCAGGTGCCGGGCCTCAGAGGGTGCTGCAGGGGGGGTTTGTACTGCGTGTACTCTGCATCCACGTCCACAGTGATGTCATAGGACGCAGCCACCACCAGAGCTGGGTCCATCCAGACGATGGTGGCCGTGAGGTTTGGACCGCGGGCCCACTTCTGGACCGCCAGGGGTTCATCCAGAGGACCGATCACGCCACCAAAGTTACGGAAGATCCTTTCCTTGGGATCCCAGTCTGTTCCGATCTGTCAGGGAGGAAGTAAACAAAAACTGAATGAGATACGACCACTTTGTGACTTTGGCTTTCACGTCTGAGGTGAATGAATGTTTTCTTTTACAATATCAAACTAGATCTTTACATTATTGAACTTAAAAAGCCAATTTCCCATATCTTGCAGGAAATCTTCCAATTAGCATTTGTCTCTGAATTCTTTGACCTTAAAGGTTTGAGCTAATTCTCTGGCAGCTTACTTCCAGATTCTTGAGCCTTTCAAACTCTTTGAGGTTGGACTCAAAGACGAGCGTGGCCTGAGGCACGGCCCACAGCTCTAGAGTCTCTCTGTCCCTGGATCCTGGAGCTCGGACTTCCTGGCGTACCAGGTAACCTTGGAAGCGGTCATCATAGAAGTAGAAATGCACAGCGAGAGGGCGGCCTACTGGTTCAAACCTGCAGGTGAGAAAATATTAATGACTCACAGAAGATGAGGACACATCAGTCACAGCAGAAAATATCGACCGTCTACCTGCAGGCCTCCATGTTGCTCTGAGAAGTCCTCAGGTTCTCGAGGCCCAGACGAATGAAGGAGGTATAAGCAGTGAGAGCCACGTCGCTGAGGGAGCCCACGCCATCCGACAGCTCAAACACACTCTCCCAGTACGCCTTCAGTGCCAACGTTCCTGGAGCGTACTGACCGTACAGGTGAGTGTCCAGGATGTCGATGGCCTCCTGGCTCACCGTCGACTCAAACTTCCGGGCAAAGAACGTCGGACGGGTTAATTGCTGCGGATTTATAAAGGAAAACACTGAATTTCTGGTAACTGGTGGAGAAGAAAAGTGAGAAGCAGAGAAGATGGGAGATAAAACCAGGGTCAGACACTGCCCTCTCCTGGTAAACCCACCTGAATACGAATGAGGTCTTGCGGTTTAAAATCGTTGGGGGAGCAGCCGCACCAGTCCACGATGTGCTTGTACTGACACTTGCAGCCCAGCTTCCGGTTCCAGTTGGTGACTCGCAGGTTGTTGTCCACCAGGGAGTCACACATGTGGCTGTTCCCGAGCACCGTGTGGAAGAAGGACTGCAGAGAAAGCAGGAGGTGACTGTTGGGTTTCTACCAGGAAGAACAAGTGCTGCCATTAGAACAGAAGTGTTTCCTTTTAAAGACACGCACGGATGGTTTCCAACCACAAACTCTCCATTACTGGAGGTCAGAGCTGAACAGTGAGCAGGTTCTCCTCTGAGACAAGAACCACACAGTCAGATAAAGCTATAATGAACCGTCCCCTCATCTGCTCTACGCTGCTGCAGAGCTTACGTTATCTCCTCCGCTCTGCTCTTCGGACTTGACGGGGAAGGACGAGAACACATTTCACGCTGAGTGTCCACAACAGGAGACCGATAACGAGTACTCACCTCCGCAGGGAGCAGAGCGTAGGAATAAAACTGCTTCAGCCCCGACACCAGCTCGTCCTGGGAGGTGATGACGTAATCCACAAAGCTGCGGGTGAGCGCAAACCAGTCGGACCCTCCAGACACCTCCAGGCCTTCTGGGATGCTCCGTTCGCCCAGACGCCACATGTGGTTGTCGCACTCGTGAAAGAGACGATCAAGGCCCTGCTTCTTAATAAACCTGGAACACAGAAGCTCCTGTGTTTCTATTAAATAGTTTTTAAAATTAAAAAACTTTTTATGAGCAAAGCTGCATCCTAGCAGGCTGTCCATCTCAGAGTCTGAATCATCACCTGGTGTTCTCTCTCCCATGAGACTTGAGGAAGTTCTTGTCCCTGTACAGCGACAGAAACGCCACCAGCTCATCGTTTGTCCTGCAGGGAGACATCATGGTGGACAGGGAGGTGAGCTCAGCAAGAAACAAACAGATTAGTAGCAGAAATGCATTTAAGCTTTTCTGTTTGTGTTGAAGCTCGTTTCACTGTAGAAGATCTCAGTGATCACTCGTGTGTGTGTGTGTGTGCCTGTATGTGCGCGTGTGTGTGTGTGTGTGTCATTTCCAAGCATCAATAAAACTTTTGTAGTAACAGATTTTCCAAACGGATGTTTAAATAGCAGAATGAACATTTTAAAGTTATTCAGAAATTGAAACATAAGTAGGGATGCCCCGATACAACTGTTTCACTCCCGATACGATACAGATATTGCAGCCTTCAGTATTAACCGATACCGATATCAGCACTGTAACGTGATGAAGGAGCTATTCCACCGAAGGTCATCTACCCTCGCTCCTCAGGAAGAACTAATCTGCATGAGACTGCCTCACGGTCATGCATTTGCTTCTAAAACTGTTTCCTTTCCAGCTCAAGAGAAGAAAGAAGACAAACTCTCTTTCCTAAATGTTTCAGGGGAGGCGGGGGACATTGAGCCCGAAAGGGCCCCGTTTTGTGCCTCCATTGTTGAGGCGGCTGACCAGAGCTGTGGCCGCAAGGTCATCGGTGCCTGTCAAGGCAGAAACCCCCAAACCCGCTGGTGGACACCAGCGATTAGGGATGCTGTCAAGTTGAAGAAAGAGTCCTAGCAGGTCTTTTTGGCCTGTGGGACTCCAGAGGCAGCTCATTGGTACCAGCAATCCAAGTGGAATGTGGCTCATGTGGTCGCGGAGGCAAATACCAGGGCATGGGAGTTCAGTGAGACCATGGTGCATAACTTCCATGTGGTTTTGAGGAGATTCTGGTCCAACGTCCAGCGCCTCAGGAGGGGAAAGCAGTGCGCTAACACAATTAATAGTGCTGCAGAACTCTACTCGGAACGTTGTGGATCAGTGGGCAGAATACTTCGAAGACCTCCTCAATCACACAGGCACCTCTTCCAGTGAAGAAGCAGAGTCTGGAGACTTTGGGTTGGATTCTTCAGTCTCTGGTGTTGAGGTCAGTGAGGTTGTCAAAAACTCCTCAGTGGCAAAGACCCGGGGGTGGATGAGATCAGCCCGGAGTTCCTTAAGGCTCTGGATGTTGTAGAATTGTGTTGGCTGAAGCGGCTCTGCAGTATCGCGTGGGGCAGTCCCACTGGACTGGCAGACCGGGGTGGTGGTTCCCCTATTAAAAAGAGGGACCGCTGGGTGTGTTCCAACTACAGAGGGATCACACTGTCAACCATGTCTTCCTTCTGTCCACTCTCTAGCATTGGGAATCACAGAGAAAGCACACGCCTGGTTTGAATCGTACCTCACAGAATGATCATTCAGTGTATCTTGGCTTGGACAATCCTCTACCGTGCACCATCTTGCCACAGGAGTCCCCCAGGGCTCTGTACGAGGACCTCTTCTCTTTGCCATATACACCACCTCACTGGGTGAGATCATTCGATCACATGGCTTCTCCTACCACTGCTATGCAGACAACACCCAGCTCTTTCTGTCATTTCCACCGGACGACCTCACTGTCTCTGCACGAATATCAAAGTGTCTCTCTGACATATCAAAATGGATGAAATCCCACCATCTCCAACTCAACCTCTCTAAAACTGAACTACTTGTCATCCCAGCAAAACCATCCATACAGCACAATATCTCAATCCAAAATTCCTTTTCAATTTTCAAGAAACTCCTGAAGACCCTGCTCTTCAGAGAGCATCTTCTAAACTAGCACCCTCCCTGCACCCGTCCCCCATCTCTACTGTCCACTCCTTGTTCCCTCCTCTCCATGATCAATGTCGTTGTTGTTATTGTTGTTGTTAGCCTCAAGGGCAACATGCCGATTATCACTTGTAAGTCACTTTGGACAAAAGCGTCTGCTAAATACATAAACATAATTACACTTCTGAGCCTCCCTGGTAAGGTCTATTCAGGGCTTCTGGAGAGAAGGGTCCGTCAGATGTCAACCCTTGGATTCAGGAGGAGCATTATGGTTTTTGTCCTGGCCATGGAACACTGGACCAGCTCTACACCCTTAGGGGGGTCCTAGAGGGTGCGTGGGAGTTTGCCGAACCAATCTACATGTGTGTTGTGGATTTGGAGAAGACATTCGAATGTGTCCCTCGGGGGGCCTTATGGGGGTACTCCAGGGATATGGGTTACCAGGCCCTCTGATGCGGGCTGTTAGGTTCCTGTATGACCGGTGTCAGAGCTTGGTCCGCATTGCCAGCAGTAAGTCGAGCTCGTCTCCAGTGAGAGTTGGACTCCACCACAGCTGCTCTTTGTCACCGATTCAGTTCATAACTTTTACGGACAGGATTTCTAGACGCAGCCATGGTGTTGAGGGGATCTGTTCAGGTGGCCTCAGGTTCAGGTCTCTGCTTTTTCCAGATGATGTGGTCCTGTTGGCTTCATTAGACAAGTGAACTCGGGCTTTCGCTGGAGCGATTCGCAGTAGAGTGTGAAGCAGCTAGGATGAGAATCGGCTCTTCTAATTCCGAGACAATGGTCTTGAGTCGGAAAAGGGTGGAATGCCTTCTGATGAGGTCCTGCCCCAAGTGGAGGAGTTTAAGTATCTCAGGGTCTAGTTCACGAGTGAGGGAAAGCTGGAGCGCGAGATTGATTGGCAGATTGGTGCTGCATCTGAGGGCGCTGTGCCGATCTGTCGTGGTGAAAAGAGAGCTGAGCCGGAAGGTAAAGCTCTCGATTTACCAGTCAATCTACGTTCCTACCCTCACCTATGGTCACGAGCTTTGGGTAGTCACTGAAAGAACGAGATCGCAAATACAAGCGGCCAAAATTAGTTTTCTCTGCAGGGTGTCTGGGCTCTCCCTTAGCGATCAGGTGAGAAGCTCGGTCATCCAGGAGGGGCTCGGAGTAGATCCGTTGCTCCTCCACATCAAGAAGGGCCAGTAAAGGTGGCTCGGGCATCTGGTCAGGATGCCTCCTGGACGCCTCCCTGGTGAGGTTTTCCAGGCACGCTCAACCAGGAGGAGACCTAAAGGAAGACCCAGGACACGTTGGAGGGACTATGTCTCTCCCCGGAAGAGCTGGCCCAAGTGGCTGTGGAGAGGGAAGTCTGGGCCTCTCCAATTAGGCTGCAGCCTCCGCGACCCGAATCCGGATTAGCGGGAGAGAATGAATGGATGGATGGATAACAGTTAATTCCAAAACTGACACCAGTTTATAGGCATCACTTGAAATGTATGGCACTGAAGCTGCTTTAAGGTGACAGCAATCCACTTTGGTATTTGCTTTGACTAGCTGTTAGCTCATCAGTCCTCTTGGAAAACACACTTTCTCCAAACAGACGCTGTTGACTGTGCCGCCTAAATCAATTAACGAGTGCTCTATAACTGCTGGACTGGCATATATCGCAGAAACATCCCTGTGAGACTGGAACAATGACAACAGGTTTGTCTCCATATCAAAGACATAGAAGATGCAGCTTTGTAACAGAGTTACCATAGCAACTCATGTAATATAATCCTATAAAACATCTCATTCAACAGTCAAAATGTTTGGCTGACACTTTCTAATGGATAAAGTTAAAGGAAGATATTTAATCAACACATTTGAAAATGGTGCCAGCCTAGACGCTAAAGAACAACACAGGAAAGAGGTTATTTAATATCCAACAGCTGATTTTATGTATTTGTCACTCACCTGGTGGGGAAGTCTGTGGCGCTGAGATTAATGAAAAAGTCCCAAGTCCACTCCTGCTTGGCCAGCAGGTCCTTCATGCTGCGTAGGTAGGCCTTCAGAAGGCTGGCTCCGCCCCAGATGGTGACCATCCGCCAGGGGGTGGCTTCCACGTTTGGGTACTGCTCAGCTATCTGCAGTACCTCCCGGTGCATGTAGCCAGATCGCTGGAAGATTTACAGAAGTAAAAAAACCATCAAAGAAACTGCTTCAACACCAAGACTGAAAACTAATTTTAGTTTTGTAAGGTTCCTGTGGATCTGAAGCTGTCGCTGAGCCAAAACAGATGAGACAAAGCTGGCTGGAGTTTAAAGAGTCTGATCTGAGAAGAACAACCACACGGTGCCTTTGGATGCGAGTCATGAGGATGACAGAAGGAGAAGAACAAAAACAACACCACACGGCCATTTCTGAAGCAGAAATCACATTTTACGACATTAAAACTTTGTAAACACGTGTTTGAAGCACCCAATAAGCTACAACTGTAACCTTCTTAATTTCTCATCGACAGATTAATTAGACCAATTACAAGGCAGCTTGTTGACAAAAACAGTTTCTGCGGCGACTAATGAGCAGTTTAACAGAAACAACCACTTGAAAATAAATTGTTCAGGGACATTTAGTCCAACCTTTTCAGGCAAGGAACAAGCAGAGTGTAATGGGTTTGACCAGTATAGCTAATAGAGGTCAGAGAAACGGGAGTTTTAGCGAAAAGTCAGAATTTTGCAAGAAAATGTAACTAAAAAAAGAATTAAAGCATCAACTTACAGAGGAACAACAGAGGTAAAGCACAGAAGAGCCAAGAGACGGATTTAAGCCTCATTCCTGAGAGGTGGATGAGCTACCACCTGAATTATTGTTCATCTGCCGTCCTTTTGGCAGCAGAACAGAGACACGCCACAGGACTCACCAACCGTTCTGCCTACAGGGGTCCTTTTTCTACCACTAAATCCAGCGCCTAAGAATAACCCCACCCCCCCAACCTGCATCCAGGGTAATCCCACTTTAAGAGTCGGACAGACTTCACCTCTGCTTGCATGGTTTAGTTTAGCTAACTCAGCAAATCAGACCGGGTGGAACACTCGCACCGCTCATCAGGGGAAAACAAACACCATGATCTACATGGTAGTTTATGCAAATGTTCTGCTGTTTGTACAACAAAAGCACAAAACTAGCTAACCGATTGTTTACTGTTTAACTACCAGGTATGTAGAGGTCACCAGCAGAAACATTCAGGGATGATAATCTGAGTTCTGCCACAACTCATCAAAGTGAGCTGCACATACAGATTATATAACTTTCTCAGTGCCTATTGTTGTCTTGTTGTGTTGTTTCTCCAACAAAATTATGTTTCCTGCTAAAATGTAAATATACTTATGTGAAAATTCTTATGTATCTGACAAACGTACGAGCTGTAGATCTTTTAATTTTCCGAAACAAGAATAAATCTTTAACGACGATATTTAGCCACCAGCATTTGTTCAACTACTAAATTGAACAAAAAGGTTATTTAACCTACAGTTTAGAAGCAAACAGAGCAGAGTAGCTGGAGAATCCTTTGAGGTAAACTAAACATGAACAGGGATTTAATTTAACATTCCACCTAACAACACAACAAAGCATCCTCTGGGCTTTTGTTTATTCCAGGCCGTTGGAGACAGAGGGAAGGAACGTGGCGTTTCTCTGACACATGGATACCTTGTCTACGTGGATGTAGTAGTAGTGGTCACGGTGGTAAATGGCTTTGATGAGACGCTTGAGCTGACGAACAGCACGGCCGTGGACCATAAGAACAAAAGCCACCCTGACAGGATTGTCCACCTTGGACAGGCTTAAGTCCATCTCGCCACCAGCGGTCTGGACTGGCTGAGACACACCTGGACAAAGTTGCCAGAGTTTATAGATGAGAGAAAGATTTTAAAACCTTGAGAAAATGTGGATGTCGCTATCTCACCGATCTGAGGGCACAGCTGAGGAAGAGCTTCTGGCATGAGCTGTCCAGCCTGATGCTGACACACGATGTTAGCGATCTCCTGCCTGCACTGCTGGGACGTGGCACGGTGGAGAGCCGACAGCGCGTCCTTCCCTACGATCTCACATTTAGGCAGAAAGTCACTGTTGGGGGTTTGGTGCGCACCATCCACGCTGCCTGGCTCACCAGGCATGGCAGCAGCTGGTAATTTAACTGGCCCGTCCACGCCGCCGCGGCTATCGCTAAAGTTACGGCTGCTGGACAGATCATGTGGCATGACGTCTAATCCAGCAGCCATCCCCCCGCGCTCCTGGGGAGTCTTCTGTCTGATCCTGGCGTTTCCTCCTCGGCGGCTGCTCCCTTTCCTCTGAGAGCTCGCCGCTGTGCCGCCTGTCCTCTCCAACCTGGCATTCCATCTTCCTCGGTTTCTCCCAGACAAAGAGTTAGTTTTGTCCCACAGAGCGCCGTCCCTCTTAGAGTCCTGGCTGTTGTGGTCGGGCAGCTTGGACCGTCTCGTCTTTCTCTGGAGACGAGAAAAAAAATATAGATTTTCAGTCTTGAGCTACTGCCAGTAATTCTATTAAAATACCATTTCAGGATGGGCGTTAAAGTCAGGCATTGATTTATGATCCAGAAACTACATAAAATAAACAGAAATCTTCATTAAAACAACAAAAGGCCCCCGAGGGAGAAGGATGTTTACTGGCTTTGTTTATTTTTCTTACTGCTCTCATCCAGGTTATTTTTAGCAGCACCTCTGCTCTTGGCAGAGCTAATTTAGAGACTAGATAGTGACACACACACACACACATGCGCGCACACACACACACACACACACAGCTTATTCCCTATGCAGACCCCAGGACTCTTAGGGGAAAAAGCACATAACAAACTGAACGTAGGCGAGGTGTGCAGAGGATAATTCTTCTGATACAGCAAAACAAACGTATCTTATAAAATGTGATCTTAGTTATTATGTAAGAGACTCCATGATTCATTCAGACGCTGCAAAAGAACATTATATTGATTTTTTGTATGATATGCCAGCTGCACCTATAAAATCAACCTGTTTATTAATGAAAATGATCTGAAAAAGCCGAGAGGTTTGGTTTAAAGTTGGATCTCAGCTGTTTTAACTTGATTCACAAATTGAACCAAATATCACACAAGTTCTGTTTCTTCTGGTACTTTGTGAGATTTGATTGCAAAGCCTCTTTCAAAAGCACACATCACTCTTCAGTAAATAAAAGGCAAGCTTTTAAAACATAGATCGAGAGAAAAGAAGCAGAGTTAGTTATTTTTAAATCCTCCAGCCAAACGACACGGCAGCTTTGGCAAACCACACGACTGAGTTGCTCAAACAACTCTTGAAAACATGCGTATAAAAAAGAGGAGGAACCACGAGTGGGCTTTCTGAGTCTTTAGAGCAGCGCGTGGGCTCGCTCGCCTCACACCGCTGGTACGCCGATAGCCAGAGATGGTGGGAGCTGGAGGAGGAGGCTGGAGCAGGAGCCAGATGATCCACGGCCAGCTCAGACCAGAGTAGTGTGGAGCGTGGTGGAAGTCCTGCACCAGTTTAGCTGCTGCTAAACAAACCCAGACTCTGTTGAGCTGAGCTGAGTCCCACATGTGCACTAGCCAGCTGTGTGCACAGATTCAATTCAGTGACAAGTGATTTAATTAATTTGGGATATTTTCTGTTTTCCAAGAAAAGTGAAACATTAGCTCAGGTTTCTGTGGAAACGCCTCCGTTTTCAGCATCAGAGGACATGTTCTTGTTTAAATTACCCTTATCACTGGCTTTCACAGATTTTAATTAAAACCATCATGTCAAAAATGTAGATTCAAAGGCAAAGCCAGGCGGCCTCTTTACTTTCCAATTAAAAGTGGAGAGAACCCGTATCGGCGTCACCATCTGCTGAAGCGGGACTCGGAGCCGAGCGCTCGGCTCTGCAGGAGGAGGCGGGAAAAGCTGAGGGTGAGACGAGGATGACGGAGTCATCTTCTTCCGTCCTCGCTGTATTCCTCTCTCTCTCTCTCTTCTGCACAACGGATTTAAAATAACGCACGTGACAGTGTCTGTGTGTGTTCACACGTGCACAGAGAGCCACTGACTAGAGCAGATGTAAGATAAGACATAAAGAAGCTGGAGAGATTTTAATGAAACACTCACCACTGCTCACAAGTTTAGAGGATTACGCAGGAATATTCGTTTCCATGGAAACAAATGAAAATAATCTAAATATTAAATAGAGCAAATGAAAAGGACATGCAGGAATGAGAGGGAGAAATTTATGTTTTAACTGTTCTCTGCAAACACTGCTGAGTTTACAGTTTAGTGACTGAAGCAGCTGCAGATTCTTTTTTTTAGCTTAAAGCCTCAAAATGTCCCGGAAACAAAGAACTATGTTTGTTTCTGGAAGAGCCAACGCTTGGTTAGGGCAACTGTCCTTTCTGTAAAACACACCTGCAACATATGTCAGCGGCGCCATGTGATGCATAATCAGTCAGCTGGAAGTGTGACTGTGAAGAAGCAGCGAGAACAGTCTCCAGAGGTTCTGCAGCGAGATCTAATCAGATAAAACCGAGTGCTAGGATGCTTAAGGTCGGCTGAGCTATAATAACTGAAGAAAACTTCACCTGACAATGTCTGCATGTCCTGTTCTGTATATGCATTCGCTATTCAGACCAACTGCACGTGTGTTTCAACTAGGGCTGCAGCTATCGAATATTTTTGTAATCGAGTACTCTATCGAATCTTTTTTTTCGATTAATCGAGTACTCTAATAAATGGCCCTTTTGTGTTTGTAAACCATTATATCAAATAGCATGTTATAAAATATGAAAGACCTCTTAAAATGAGCAAGCAATTGCCAGTTATTCTTCAAGTTTTATTCAAAATTAGTTTTCAAAGCTTCAGCACTTCAACTTTACTTCACAGTAAACAAATGTCTGTATAAAAAATAAGTACACAACCTGGGCTGATTTTCCCCTCGTGCGAGAACAGGGTCCGAAATTAACACTCGCCACTCGCCAAATGCGAGTAAATTGCTCCATTTGGCGAGTAAATTTTTGAGCTCTACCTGCCACCTGGCGGGTAAATGTTTGCACCAAATTAGTTATGTTTATCAGTCATCTTCCATGGATTTCTGATACTCCTCCCGCCTGCATGCAACTTACACAAACGTACGCGAAACGTGAGCGCCGCATCCAACGTCATTTCCACCTATCCCATTCAATCAGTTTATCAAGTTAGCCGTTAGCTTCGTGTTAAAACTAGCGGTGAAATGTGGCGGTTTTTAACTGGAGTCAGCCAGCCTTCCAAAAGAAAACTCGTCAAACTGGAAGAAAAACCACCAGGACCAGTGGCAACCAGAAGATTTTGTGAAAAGTGGCGAACTGGAGATGGCAGAGTCGTGAGACAATGGCTACATTATGATGGCCACGTAGCGTTGCTGCCTTTCACAGACAATTGTCCCTCGGCATTCTTCAAATATCCAAAAAATGCCCGTACTTCCGACTTTGTCTTCTTTGAGGGATAATAAATGTCCCAAGTGCTGCCGTCTCCTCCTGCCATTATTTCAGCTTTAGCTTAAAGAGTTTTGGTCGTAAACAACAAAGTGCGCATGTGCCGCCGGCAACTTCCAGCAGATGATACGGTGGCTGGTAAGGGTCACCGCGCCTACACCGCAGCCACGGTAATCCACAGAGATAATATATATATATATATATATATTTTTTTTTTTAAACAAGACTGTTATTATTTATTGTCAACTTTTTTACCGGGGTTTACTGCTACACCGGTTACCGTGACAACCCTAGGACACACTTTCAGATATTCTCATGGTGCAGCTGTGTTCTCCAGAGATCAAGGACTATGACCCAAATGAGGCTGTGATGCTTTGGCACAAAGACGGTGTCAGAAGCAGGAGGCCAGACTTCATGGACAGAGAAAACAAGGAGTCTGACTAGATTTCAATGAAAGAGTTCATAAAAACATCTCTAAAAATAAATAAATAGTAAAAGTGACAAAAGAGTTGTTTTCCTTATTAACTGATGTTTTAATTATTTTGTCACTCTGTTTGGAATCAACATAATATAGAATTACATGCTTTAGGCAGATCTAAATCATTTAGAATTTTGGCCGGTAAAAAATATGCTTGGCCGGTAGATTTTCATCATCTACCAGCCAACTTGGCCGGTGAGTAAAAAATTTAATTTCGGACCCTGTGCGAGAATCTGCTAGCCCGGCAAGCCAGACAAAAACTAGGAGGATAATTGTTGAAGTAGCGCTGCGAGCGGCTGCAGCCCAAACAGAACCAGAACCGCTCACGGCGCATGCGCAAACAGCTCGCCGGCTGTTTCCCTATTAATGCACGTCCATTTTAATTTCTTCACTTTTTTTCTCACACAATAACAAGGATTGTCGAGAAAGCATGTTTGCTGTGGTTTTGTCAAATTATACTGATCACAAAACATTTATTTACTTTCTTTCATTTTCCTCCGCCACTCATAAATACCCGTGTCCTCCTGCAGCAATCCCGAGGGACAACAAATATCAATAACAACACAATAAATAGTCCAACATGTTGTGTATAAACGGCTATTTTTTAGCACATTTTAAGTCCGACGTGTTGCTAGCAGATGTATGGTGTGAGCTGAAACTTGAGTGCTACAAACGAAAAAGTCGCACAGTGTCCGCAGAATATATAGAAATACAGGCTAAAATGCCTTATCTTGCAGAGGCTCAGAGTCTGCTTGCAGAAGTGACATTTACAGGTGCTGCAGCATGGAGGATGTGGTGTTGTGATAGGCTAAATCCATTTTACAGTATTTATACTGGACTACGTTTTCCACCTAACGACGTGAAAAATGGTCCCACAACTTTGACATTTTCTGTCTTTTTCGCACTCCACCGGGGTCCACGTTGTACGCCATGGCTTAAGAGAAAGTTAAGTTACATTCACTACTCGCGTGTGCGTTCAGTCCAGTGGGCATGTGCGTCACTTATTTCAGTCCGGGTGAAACATGACCCCGGGCGATTGCAAAGCCATGAATTAATTAAATATGAATTAAACGAATGCTCGAGGCAGAGAATTTGACTCGAGGCTTTTTTGTACTCGAATTATTCGAGGAATCGTTTCAGCCCTAGTTTCAACACAAAACAAGAACATTTCAAAGTCTTCCCAACATTTTAAGTGGTGCTGCTCTACATCTACAACTCATTCTCATTCACTTTTGAAGTCTTCAGTTTTTCCTCTCCACTGTCGCTACATGCTTACAATGCCAGAGGACAAAACTGAACATTTCTTCAACACAATGAACCACAGTTTAGTAATTAAACACTAGGAGGAAGTGAATTTGTAGATTTAGGCTGAACAAAGACGAAGCAGGTGCATGAGAATTAGGCTTTGAGTTCACTGATCAGCTCACAGATTAAACCGAAGGGATCCACAACACATAATCTCTCCAGTAGATGTGGGGAGCCTGCCCGCTACCAAACACTGATCCTTCTTTTCTATTTCTCTGTGGCAAAGATCATTCATCTCCTCCTGTACCCCCCCCCCCCCCCCCCCCCCAAGTATGTTTGTTTTACACTGAGTAGGAGATGCTCTGTATCTCACTTTACACCTGTATAGTGACAATAAAGGCATTCTATTCTATTCAAACCCCAGAGGCACAGCCCATCACACCTGTCCTTCCACCCAGAATGGGGCAGAAATATTACACATATGTCAAATTATTGGAAAAGCAACAGGATTCCCACTTCGTTTCAGCTTGCATTCCTGCACTTATTCAGTCCTCCACAGGTGACACCCGTTAGCAGCTCACGTTACCTCATTTAGTAGGAAAAAAAACCTAGCAGTTAATGCCCGAAGGCAAGTACACTTCAGGTGTGTGAATCAACGATGAAATGCTCAGGTGATTTAAATAAACTGTTTCATCAGCCTGGATGAAATCTGTTGCTTAACGTGTGTCAAAAGATACAAGCATCAGTGTCAGAAGACACAAGCATCAGAACAACAAATAAAAGGTAAATTAAGGACAACAGATTAGGAATGTCCCGAGGCTGCTAGAAAAGAAAGCTCGGACTTAAGCTGCTGAAACAAAGTGATTCTTAGATGTTTAAGCCGGTTTGTTTTCTTTTCTGTCTGATTCACACAAAGTTTCCCCAACTTCAACGACTGAAATAACATTAAACTAGTTTTATTCACAAGTTAACTACCATTTTAAACGGTCACATAAAACTCGTGTAATGAACACGTAGCCTGTTACTTTCCTGTGGGAACCAACAGTGGTTAGCGACACACGTACAGCAGCAAGCGGCTAACAGCTAGCACCAGCTAGTGCTACTGTATAATAACCAACACAGAGTGAGCTAAGCTAACTGCTAGCTCTATAACTGAAGCTCACTACATCAATTCAGCCCTGAATATAATCGGCAAGAAGGTTTCTTACCTCGGCCTCGCCTTCCTCCAGACTCCTCAGACTCCATACTACAAGTCCTTGTATCAGTAAGATTATTAAAGCGGCTGAAATCGCTGGTTTATATCGTCGTAGTAGCTTTAAGACTCGGACGCTGGCCACCATTTTTCCGACTACAACAGCTAGCCCAGCAAGTGCGTGCAGCGTCTTGAGCTCAGTATCCACACGAGGGCGCTCTAAGGCCCATCAAGTTCAATGATGGTGATGAAAACTTTATTTCTACGATGTAAAAAGACAAATGTCAACTTAGCAGATAAACAAAAATAATAAAATCCATACAACAATTACATTTTTTTAAATAAACTTTCGCATTCAGTCAGAAAGACTGGAAGAAGCAAATGTCTATTAGTCCTACCTCCAATTTTAATAGTAAAATTTGAATGAAAATGACCCACTAGTGCAGGGTTTCACCTTCAGTTCACTACTAAACAGTAATACTTGCAACTCCAGGTATCACTAGTCAAAAATAACTACATGAATCATAATAAGTACACTACTTCTTTAAACACATTTTTAAAATTAAATTTGAATTGAAAATAGTAATCTAATAATTTAACAGATTTACAGCAGTTATCATAAGTGCCATACCATGTAATCTGTAATCAGTAAGTAATCTGATAAAGCAGACTATCTGTGAGGCTCAGAGAAAGAGCTCAACAAAACGGGACCTTATCGGTTTCTTTCATTTAAGTTAGAAACTCTTCATTGTGTCCTTAAAAAATGAATAACTCTAACTTTAATCAGGTCTTTTTAAACTCTTAAAGTGAAAAGTTGACTTTTTTGTTTTATCAAAATAAAATTCCATTTTACAGCATTGCATGTGTGTGTGTGTGTGTGTGTGTGTGTGTGTGTGTGTGTGTGTGTGTGTGTGTGTGTGTGTGTGTGTGTGTGTGTGTGTGTGTGTGTGTGTGTGTGTGCATTTTCAAAACTGGCTTTAGATCTGCATGCTCGACGTAAAGAACTTGTTGGGACAATTAATTCTTGCACGTAACAGGGCTACACGCGTCTCGATATTCTCTTACAAAACTTATCTAGAGAGAATTTCTCAAATTTCTCCATTAGGCTAATAAATTATATAGATGGAATCAAATAAAACACGCATCAAAGCTTCAGGACAAAAGAGACATCAGCTATAAGTCCTCTCCTCATAAATGACATGAATAAATACATCAGCTGTGTGTTTTAAACAATAGTTTGTTCCAAAGTCATTTAGAAAATGTCATGTTTTCCATCCATGAATTCTCATAGAACATTTTAGCTCCTTTGTCTGCTCAGAAATCCTCTCAGGATGGGACCCCCGCCGTTTCCATGGTTACGAGACTCAGACTCAGGCATGTGGTGACGTCTGGAGCAACTTCCAGCCCATCTAAACCCTAAAACACACGCAGGTGTTTTGTAGGAGCTCTAATCTCATCTACACACGGGAAACATAAAGTAACGAGCCCAAGACCGGAGCGACGTCACGCACGGAGAGGGCGTCGATCGGTGACGCTGCGGCGTTTACCGAGAGAGGGGAGCTCCAGAGCGCGTGTGGACCGTCAGCCTGTCCGGAACCGGAGGGAGGGAGAGCAGCAGACATCCGGTACCGGTGTCCCGTTCAGGTCCCTCTGAGATGTAAGATGAGAGCCTCTGCGCTGAGGCTGAACAGCTCGGGGAGACCTCAGAAAGAAACTCTCACGATTTACCCGGAGGACATGTCCACGATCGCGAGTCCCACCAGTCCGTCCTCACAGCTGACTTCAGATCAGCTCACAGTGCTCGCTGCGTCCTGTAAGTAGATCATTACCGCTGCTGTCCCGGTTATTACTGAGAAACCCGGGAAGAAACACCCCGATTCTCTCTCAGACACGCTCTCGTGGTCAACTCATGAATATTTGACGTGACTTATTCATCATAACAGCCAAAAACAACATTTTAGTAATTGTTTTTAATGTAAAATGTTGCATATGAGGTAACACATCAAAATCTGAATCATTGAAATGTTGATTCAAACTTACACACACACACGTCTATACATATATACACACACACACACACACACACACATATATATATATATATATATATATATATATGATGATTGTCTGATTAACTGTGACTTCTTGTTTCAAACAGTTTCTTCTGTGTTCTTTGTGGTTGTTGTCGTGCTGATGTCTATAATTTACCGCAAGGATTCTCAGTGCTGTAAGCATCGCTCCTATCAGGAACCAGATATGGTGAGCTGGTATGAGGGCACACACACACACACACACACACACACACACACACACACACACACACACACACACACACACACACACACACACAAACCTTGGTGAAAGTTTCCTTTGTGCTGAGTTTTCTTGCTGAGGTGATCTGTACGTTCAGTGCAGGACCACACTGATGAAGGGGGGGTGCTCTCCATGTGCCGCATCATTGGCGAGTGTCAGATTGAATTTGCACGGCTGTGGCAGAAAAGACTTAAACAGGCTTGATATGATCGCTGTGAAGCAATGGATTTGCTTCAGTCTGGTTCAGCTTGCCACTCTAATGGAACTCTAATGGAATCGGACAGATTTAGCACTGACCGTGAATGTGAATGCAGCTTCAGCATTGATAGAATTAAATCGTGTTTTTTAATCGTTGTCTATCTAGCTGCAACACTTGGACTGCATGTAAAACAAGTGAGGCTAATCTTTGCGATCAAGGATCCCTCAATTGCATTATTAGACATTTCTTTCTAGATTACACATCTTAATTAAAGATCCGCCATTGTTCATGCCAGAGTTTTAGACTCAAATCATTGTGTGTTGAAAAATTATGAAGTTAAAGTTGCTTTTTACCTCAATCTTAAAAATATTTAATCGTTTATTCGTTTTCCCACACAAGTATTAGTATTCTTAGTAAAATTTTACCAGTATAACTGGCTGTCATTGTGTTTACTTCAAACTTAAAGGAGTGGATAACTGAAAACCATTTTTTAATTATTGTTCCTGATTATAATCGGTCACTCTGAGCTTAACATGCAGGGTGACCATGAAAATAGTCTCCTACACCTATCTCCTAACTTTTGCCTATCAGGAACTGCTCTGGAGTGGTTCTCCTCTTATCTCTCTGAGCGCTCCTTTTCTGTGGCCGTCTCCAAGTTCAGGTCCTCCACCACCTCCCTTACCCATGGTGTCCCACAAGGTTCTGTGCTGGGGCCTCTGCTCTTCCTCCTCTATCTGCTTCCTCTTCAGCACATCCTGAGCTCCTTCAAAGGAATCTCCTACCATCTTTATGCAGATGACATTCAACTGTACATCTCCTTTAAGCCCCATGAGATGTCTAAGCTGCAGCTGTTACACACCTGCTTAGACTCTATCAAAACCTGGATGGCTGGGAGCTTTCTACAGCTGAATGAAGATAAGACTGAGATCCTCATCTGTGCCCCAGACAAGCTGGTTCCCAAAGACAGAGACTCTCTTGGTCAGTTTGCTTCTCACACCAAACCTTCCATCAGGAATCTTGGCGTGACCTTTGACCCAGCTCTCACCCTGGATTCTCGTCAGTTCTCTTGTTCGCTCTTCCTTCTTCCATCTCAGGAACATTGCTAAGCTGAGTCCTATTCTGTGCCGCTCTGAACTTGAGACAGTTCTCCACACCTTCATCTCCTCACACTTAGACTGCTGTAACTCTCTTTTCACGTGTCTAAGCAGAACCTCCCTGAACCGTCTACAGGTGGTTCAGAATGCCTGTGCTCGGCTTCTGACCAAGTCCTCCAAACACACCCACATCACCCCGCTTCTCCTCCAGCTTCACTGGCTGCCAGTCAACTTCAGGGTTCATTTCAAGATCCTGGTTCTGGTCTATAGGGCCTTACATGGACAAGCACCATCTTACATTGTGATCTTCTTAGTCCCTACACCCCCAGCAGGTCCCTGAGGTCCAGTGATCAAAGCCTACTGGTTGTGCAGCACCAGGCTAAAGACCAAAGGTGACAGATCATTTGCTGCTGTGGCCCCCAGACTCTGGAACTCTCTCCCCCTGAGCCTGAGATCAGTGGACTCAGTGGTCTCCTTCAAAAAGCAGCTGAAGACTCACTTGTTCAAGCTGGCTTTTGTATGACCTTCTTCACCACTCTCTCTTTATTCTGCTCTCCCCACCTATTCCACCTTCCTCAGGATCCACTGATTTCCTTCTTTCCCATTCACTCTCTCTCTTTCTTAACATTTTTTAATCACAATTGTCTATTTTTTTACTCATTTTAAATATATTTTTAACCATTTTCTAAATTATTTTTTATAGTTTTAAATTTTTTTTGTGAAGCGCCTCGTGATTTTTATCTTGAGAGGCGCTATAGAAATGATATTTTCTTCTTTCTTCTTCTTCTTTTGACAGAAAATCGACGTTTAAACTCTGATTTAAAAACTACAAAATACGGACACATTTATATCAAACTGTCACTTAACATTCATGGACTCACCCACGTTGACTCACTACGGGTAAGGCTTTTGTTGGTTTAAGATCCAGAAAAATAGCAGAGAAAATCTTAGCTAGTAGAAGCTAACCGTTAGCATTAGCAACTCCACCACACAGCAGAACTCCTTCAGTCTTGTGTTATTTGTGGAGATAAAACATCAACGCTGCAGAGCTAACAGAGTCAGCACTAGTCATATTGCTGTTAGCCAGTCAGAGGTGAAATGTCCAAATATCAGGAAATAAGACGTCGTCTGAAGCTACTTTCACCTCCTGCTCAATTCTCCGTATTGAAAGAGACGCTTCTGGGCTTTTTTCTCTCTAGTATGACTTACAAGGCATTCATTCCTACTAGAGATCACTGCAAGCGTAAAAATTAAACAACCTTTAAAGCAGAAATCTGGAGTTTTTTCTCAAGGCACCATCAAAAAGTGCAAAAAAATGTAGTGAACCTATAAGCTCCTCCCCCTATTTGAAGCTACACCTCTCGTTCGCGGATATGCTCCTCTGGCCATCCAACAGAGCTAAAAACATTGTTTTACAATTATTTTTCACACGTTATGCTGTTTATTCATACATTATTATTTTAAAGACGTGCGTGTTCATAAGCAATGCTGCCAACTCTGCATCAATCTAGGTACTTTTGCAAATGCCTGTGCCTGCTCTGCAATTGTCTAACGCAATGGGCTGAACCTGTGTGACACAATTTGAATTGCATGGGGCTCTACGGGACGGGGCGGGCTTATCATATAAATGATGTATTGTCTTCATCATATAAACACACAGAATTCCTGAAAGGGGGAAAACTCCAGAAGATTGCTGCTTTACCCAGTGGCAGACGCACATCTATTCATTAATTCCTGAGAGTTTTGAGATGTTTATCCAATACACACTGTGAGGCAAAAACATCTTCACCCACCCTTTAAGATTGGGTGTGGAGTGATATGTGTCACAGAGCGATCTGTTAGCTGTATCGGTGCAGGATGAGGAAGAGTGGGAATGTAAACATTTCAAAGATGTTACTATTCATCGGTCATCCATTCACTCTGCTTCTGTTTCCCGACTTGTTTCTCACCTCCGCTAGCCCAGACGTCAGGTTCCAGAGTTATCTTTGGACTGCAGAAACACAAGCCGTACCTTCAACAGACAGGATGCTGTGTTCAGCCGAGGGTTTGACGAGAAAGTTCTGCCTGATTTATGGCGCTGTTTCAGCGCCTGACCTCTGCTTACAGCCTCTCAGGGTGCAGCAGCTACTGGGTTTTCTTAAGTTAAGTGTTCAAACACACAAATAAGATGTCCAGTCGTGGGATCGTTTCTAGAAAATATTCCTCTGACTTAAGAAGTTCCTTTTATTTAGCTCCAGTGGGATATCTCACATCGTCTACTTCATAGTCACATACCTTTCTCTGGTTCTTTCTGATCCATGAATAGACCAGAGACCTCGCTGTGGGTGTTGGGGACACAAATGGGACAATGGGTCTCCTTTACGCTGCAGCAAAGAAAAAAAATCTTAAAAAGCAGTCGCTGTTGGGATCCTCCCCCGACTTCAACACCAATTTTAAATGGTTGTGCTTTTTCACACCGGCTCAATCAATAGCAAACGACAAAAGGACGACCCTTGCTTTCTTTTTGGGTCTCTATCCTGAGGACGTTCTTTCGTCCCTTTAAAGTACACACCCATGAGGGGAACGAGACCTTTGCCATCATCTTTTTGGCGCTCTCTATTTTCCTCTGAAGGGTTGTGACAAAGGTCACCACTGTGCTTCATTTTAAGTGTGAACAATGTCATTGTCTCATCAAGGATATGATGAATCAAATTATAAAACGTTAAAATTCCTCTTGAAATGATGCAGGAGCAACACGTGTGTGTGTGTGTGTGTGTGTGTGTGTGTGTGTGTGTGTGTGTGTGTGTGTGTGTGTGTGTGTGTGTGTGTGTGTGTGTGTGTGTGTGTGTGTGTGTGTGTGTTGCACAGTAGTGCATCACATTGTTCTCTTCACAAAGGACGCTCATTTAGACGGAAGGCAATTAACCGGTTTAGTGGCGGCCCTTTTTCAGGATCTCATCACCACATACAGTGAGACCCTGACTTTTCTTGTGTTTTGGAGGCGGGTGGGACAGGGACGAGGCACGGGAATCAGAGGGTGGTCGTGTCATCCTCTGGTTGATAAGATAATTTACGGCTCAGCTTAAACCAACCGGCTCCTACAGAGACTAAACCAGGCATGAAAATTGGTTAATTGGGCAGAAGATGAGTGGATCTCTGATTTATCATGGTTGGAGAAATAAGAACTTTTAACATCAAGTGTTTAGTTACCAGTAATCAAACATTAAAAAACAAACTTGTAAGGAAAGTTCAGATCTTTATAAGACCTGTTCTGTGTAAAGTTATGAGCAATTGTTGCCAAAATTGTTGATAGCTCTCTAAAGCAACTGACTGGGTTGACAAAATCTACAGGAAAATGTGCAATTTGTCAACTTAAATTGCACAGAATTGCAACGAAAAAGCAAAAAGTTGTCTGTGGGTGATGCAGTTGTAGTAACGTGGAAATATTGTTTCTCTTTAAACAAGTTATAATAATTCAAAAGTCTGTACAACATATATTTATGAAGTTAACCCCTCTCACGCCAAGCAATCTCAGCAGCTTTATTCTAGACAGTTTTAGGACCTTCCAGAATGAGCCATTTCAAGGGTCTCTCCCTTTAATGCAAATAAGCTGTTATTGGCCACGCCCACCCACCAGGCAACTGGCTGCTATGAGTTGATGGGAGATCTCATTGAGCCGCTGCTCTTTCACACCTAGAGCGGAAGCCTGTGTTGACAGATAAGTTAGGCTTCTCTGCTAATTTTCCTTATTGTGACATCACAAACAGGGCCTTTTTGAAACGGGCTGTTTCAGGCATGTAATTCCTGAAACAAAACACGGACAGAAAATAGATGGAGGTTTTTTATCCATGTTGGGAGTGTTTATAGAAGCGGAGACCCACATGGCCACACAAACAGACGCAACAAATGTCTCCTTTAGAACTTCTCATATTAACTTCTGAGTGCTTTTTGTCACAAGAAGGTTATTCTGGCAGCACTATGTTGATATAATACTGAACAGGAAGTACTATGATTGTTAGTCTCTATTTTTGGAAGCTGAGGTCATTCAGAGAGCTATCTACAAAAAGTGAGGTTTTATTGTTTTATAACCTTCAGCAGAAGATCTTAGCAGCTGCTTCACCCATAAATAATGCTAAGTGGTTTATTGTTCCAGGATACTCCTCCTCAGTACTACAGCAGCAGACAGACCCTGGTGGGATCCGTTTGTTTGGAGCAGACTCAGATAGTCGATGACAGCAACACTCAGGTGAGAAAACCCAAACATGAGTCTAAATCTTTATGAGAGGATTCTTAACCAAAATCCAGTTTCAGCCAATAAATAAAATCTGTTTTCCGTCATGTTGTGTTTTGTGGAAACTCCAGCAGTCAGGTGATCTGTTCTACGTCGGCCTGCCCTCCAGCTACAGCCTGCCCGCTCTGGAGGCCCCCCTGCCCAGGCTCCCCTCTTACGAGAGCGTCCGAAAGAAAGACCGCCAGAGGCAGATCCACATGATGATCGCAGACCGTTTTGGTCTCAATGGACCCATTGTGTCTGAGGTAGGGTGAATGAATTTGAGAGTGTGTCACGGAAATGTATCCAGTCACAAACACTTTCGCAACGCAGCCCTTACGGGGCTCTGAAGGACCGGTTTCTCACTCATCGTCACGATGAAGCTGTAGCTGAAAAAGACAACCTTTTGTGCATTTTGTGCAGATTATATACATCATTTTTGTAACAGGAGCTTACTGAAAAGCAGCGTGTGCATTCAGAGAGGAGTAAACAGGACACACTATCAGCTCATCTAACACTTGCTGGCTGAGGTTTCACAGTGTTGATCTTTTGCTGAGCTTTGGGTTTGCACAACGCTTCAGCAAACAAGGTAATGAGAAAAAGTCACATCAAGCATAATGAAGGCCTGCCTCCATGAGTGCAAACAGTGGCCAAGAATGCATCTTTGTCTTCTGCTGTCCTCCCCTCTGACCCCCTTATTTATAATAAAACACTCAGTCATGCACTCATATATTAACGTTAACTTTTTCAACCAATGCATTCTTTTTGTCCCTCCCCCCTCATGTAGCCTGTTTGAGGGTCGTTCATATAATTTCCCCATCTGTCCTGCAGCCTGGGGCAATGTGTAGTAGTTAAGTGTGTGTGTGTGTGTGTGTGCGTGTGCGTGTGCGTGTGTGTATCAGATGAAGGGCAGATTCTGTTGTGTTTCACCCGTCGCCTGAGGGTCCCCGAGCAATTAAAAGATAAGAGGACACAGTCAGGGAGTGTGAATCAGCTTGATTTTATTAAAGAGATAATGAAAAAAAAGTTCCAGCCGGCTGAAGTGGGAACAGATTAATTGGTGATGTAAATAAAAACACGTCCCAATTCCCTTTTTAAAATAAACATCAACCCGCTGAGCTGAGGGTTTAGGATGTTCTCTGGATCTGTCACTCACTCACTCACTCACTCACTCACTCACTCACTCACTCACTCACTCACTCACTCACTCACTCACTCACTCACTCACAATCTTCAGACAAACCAAAATGCATGTTTTTAGTCTGTTGGGGGAAATGGGAGTGAACCCACGTATGCATGGAGATCATGCTACCTCCATGCATCAGGGATTTGAACCTGCAACCCTCTTCCTGCGAGGTAACATTCCTACTGCTTCATGCAGGTAAATTCATTAATATGAATTTAGGAGTTGCTCCCCCTGGAGCACGTTTTCATAAGGCACTGGTTATGTCTGACTGCACTGACGCACGCACCTGCAGCCAATCAGCTTCCAGAGCAAAATGGATTCTCTGCATCTGTGGGGAAAAAATAATAATCAGTTATTTCTTTTTTTTTTTTGTTATTTTTGCAGCAGATTTAAATTCTGTTCCTCTAAAGATGTCCGTGTTGTTTGTGTGTGACCCCAATAGCCTCCGCCAACGTACGAGGAGAGCATCCGTCCGTCTGTGGAGCTGCCGTACAACATCCTCTCAACGAGCCTCAACGTCTTCCCTCAGAGTTTCTACACCAGCGTTCCACCCGGCGTAGATCATCGGGTCAGCTCTGCAGCCAGCAGCGCCGTCCCACCAGCTGTATGACGCTGTGATCAAGTCCTCCAGCTGCCTGGTGAGCACAAAGGGAACTTTTCAGGCTCAGGAAATCAGCTCACGGTCCCGATTAAACTTTCTTATACCATCTTCTGATGGTGAAGCAGAGGGGAAACCAAAGATGTCATCGTAGTTACTGCAGACGACCAAGATGATGATAAACACCCGAATGAAGGTGGCTGGGACATCTTTAGCAGGCGTGAATGAGACTACAGGACAAAGGCGACCATTACCACGAGGATTTTGCTCATGAACGTTTTTTTGATTCTCAGATGTGGTACAGCCGTACAGCAGGCGCCTTCATCCGGTTGTTATGGCAACAGAGAGAGTAAGCAAGGTGCTAATTTTATGCAGAATAAGTTCACATCAGTTACAACTTGGATCTCAGATTTGATCATTTCAAACCTTATTTTGTCTTTTTTCTGCTTTTTGTATCGACTTCTCCACATGGAACTCACCGTTTTGTATCTTGTATTTATTGGAGAAGTTACATGATATTGTGTCTCTTTAAAAAACCAAATGCAATTAAAAGATTTATTACTCTGTTGATGGACTCCTGTGCTTCACAAAAACAAAAAGCTCAGTCAAGGGATCCAATTAAAGCTTTCTTTTATCTTTATTTAGAAATTTTAAGAATGTTAGTATGTAAATCCTTGCACAAATCTGATTACTTTAAATACCAATAACAGCTTTTGTGTTGACGAGTTTCAATGGGACATTTTGTTTGTCTCGTCTCTTTTGTAACAGGTAAAAATCATCACCGGTGTGTCCCAAAAAGGAGGTAAATGCTACTAAAGAGCCTGTTTTAAGGCTGGTCGCTTTCTTTTGATTCATATAAATAAATATTTAATTGCTAAATATTACCACGTAGTTTTCAGTGTTTAAATCATTGACTTCCTGGTTCACACCCGTGTGTGTGTGACCATATTTGATAAACCATTTCATTAAAAATCTGTATGCAAATGTGAGAAAAGCATGAGATTAGAATATTATCAGTGCCTATTGTGATGAGGATGAGTTATGATGAGTCCACTTTTCTCTCTCCTCTCAGATTTACAGAAGTCCTAACTGTCCTGTGCAATATTTATACTATTTATGACAGTATATTTGCGGTATTATGAGCAGCCTTACAATAAAAGTCATTATTCTTTTTTAATCATTTTATTCTCAATATGCAAAAAAATGAAGATGGGAATTATTTCCTTGTGACAATTTAGAAAATGTCCATGATGACATGTTTGGTGTAAGTAGAGGATTCAGAACAACATGTCACAAATCAATAAACACAATATTAATTTAACAGAGAAGTAATTTCACTGCTGTAACTTTAAAGTGACAGTGTGTATTTTTCCTGGCGATAGGGGGCAGTAGATCCCTAAATTGTTGCAAGCAAGCTGTATTTTTGTGTTGGAGTAAAACCTTGTAACGGATGCCCATTAGGGTCAAAATGCCCCGGGGAGTGCAAACTTCAGAACAACAACAACCACGTCAGACTCCCTTTCATCACTTGCAACTAGTGAAGAGGTAAATGTGTAAAAAACCACGTTGATGAATGGTGAAAGTCTTCCAATCGTTTGTTACAAATCAGTAAATACATTTTATCCTCAAGGGCTCTCGTAGAAGGAAACATGGCATCTAATATGGCGCCGCCCAGAGTTTCAGGGTGTTTATCAATGCCTGGGAACCTCGTCTTGATGCCTTGGCCCCACCCCAGTTGCCTAGGAGATACGTCATCAGGAGCCGCCAAGACGTGTTCCAATGTTCATGTTCTACCGAGGAGTGTGTTCTCCGTTTGTTAGCTGTTTAGCTAGCTGCGCAAGGATGCACGGGAGGTGTCTTGTAGCCTAGCCTTGGTAAAAAAATTCCCAGAATACAGTGCGGTATTTTCAAAAGGATGGAGGATCGGAAGCCAGCAGCTACTTCTTTGGCAAATTTCAAGTTTAAAAGTAAGTCAGCTACTTTAAAATGTTCTTTTTTTTTAGATCCAAAAAAGTTATCTAAGGTTGGTTAGTTGCTTAGTAGATGCAGCTTCGGTGGCTAGCGGGTAGTAACTCACTTATATATTTAATTTAACAAACACATACGCAGTTTAAAAAGTAACTCGTTATATATTTATATTGAAACTAATACACATAAAATATAACCTTATCTCCCGTGTCACGTGATGTTACGTGACCGCCGTGGAAGCTGCAGTCTGTTCCATTTAACCGTTTTCTTTGACCAAGGAAGGACAGTGTCCTCATAAGCAAGGCCTCGGCCTCGCAAGACATCGCCTCGCAAGGCCAGGCGCCTTGACATTGAGAAACACTCTTAGACCTGCTCCCATGTTTTTTAGACCTGATTTTTATGGTTATGTTATGAAGCCTCCAATATTTTTCAACAACTGGTCATCAGTTAATTCATTTTCAACAACATTATTATGGATGTTTCCAGAGATTATTGATAAAAACTACACAATGTCCCTTTAAGGCCATCATAATCCAGACACATGGATTCACACTCTTTATGCCGACAGTCAGGCTAAAAGCTGACAGAGGCTGAAAAAAGCAAAAAGGACAGTTTTGCAGCAACAGTAACGTCTTAAAAACTAGGCGAAAACCAGCAGATGCTAGCTTACACACACTGAAATGTAAATAGGTAAAAATACAACACGCAAATCAAATGTGTTTGTAACAAACCCGTTAACCATAATTTAGGTTCACACATATAAAAACTGTAAATTTAAAATACATTTCTGCATTTTTCTTCTATAAATGGACAATAACAAGGTTTAGATGTTTTTTCAAACAACTTCATAATCTTTTTAAAACAGTTACTCATTCAGATACACTGGTAGTGGACGTCCAGGCTCAGGGACACTTCTGATCATTGGACAGTGGGGAAACCAGACCTGTTCTCTGAGTCTTTTTACGTTGCCTTTATGGGGTGTTGTGTGTACAATTTTAAGGAGAATGAATGATTTGTGTCCATTTTGGAATAATGCAGTAACATGTGGAAAAAGCCTTCTGGATATACAGACGAGTAAAATGATCGTAAATGGAAGGATTCTGAAAAATATTCCTTAGTGTCACGGATTCATGATATTTGCAGATCTCAGTGTCCTCCTGAAAGGATGGGAGAGGGTGTTGGACTCGGGCCGGGCCAGGATCTGGTCCCTCCTGCATTTGATGAGCTGTTCCTGGATCAGTCCCTGCTGATCCTCCCTGAGGGTTTGAGCTCGCTGCTCGCCATGAAGGTGCTGCTTCTCCTTGACCTGAGCCTCCAGGTCAGCCCGGTACGCCAATGTTGCCTGTCTCCTGCTGCTCAGAGAGGAAGGGGTGGGGCTATGTACACAACAACAACAACAACAAAAACAAAAACAACAACAACAAACCTTCTTTTCTCTTCCTCCTGCTTCAGTTTCTCCTCCTCAATGGCTTGAAATAGAGCTTCCTTCTCCTTCTGCAACTCAGCTTTTTTCTCCAGGTTATTGTTCACTGATCACACACACACACACACACACACACACACACACACACACACACACACACACACACACACACACACACACACACACACACACACACTGAAGACTGAACAGTGACTGCTTGGTTCTGATGAACTGGTGGCTCTTACATCTGTTTTGGACCTGCAGGTGCCGGGCCTCCATCACCTCCTCCACCAGGTGGTTCCTGGCCTGTTGGTGCCGGTGTCTTTGCTGGTTCTGTTTGGTTAGGATCTCCTGATGCTTTTCCTCCATCAGCTGCTTCCACTCCTCCTCCTCTGCATTCTGTCTCTGCCGGACCTCGGACAGGTACTGCAGGTATCGCTGCTGCTCCTCACGTAGCTCCACCTGAACACCAACGGACTGGGTCAGCAGCTCAGAACCTCATTCTGAGAGGAGCTGTGCTACTTCTTACAGTGAGTACAGTTCTGATCCGGTGAGTAAACAGGATTGGTTTGGACCTGTTCTGATCCAGGTGAGTCTCAGGTGTGGTTACCTTCCTCTCGGCAGCTTCCTGTCTCAGGTCCACAGTCTGTTGGGTCTGGTCCTGCAGGATGCTCATGTCCAGCTGCAGCTCCTCCTGCTGCTCCCGGACCCGTCGCCTCATTTTGCTGCGGATGTCCCGCTCCAGCTGCCGGCTGTGGTTCTGCTGCTCCTGAAGCTTCAGCTGCTGGTGTCTCTGGTCCTCCAGGAGCAGGTCCTGATTCTGCTGCCGCTGCAGGATGAGACAAAAGGTTATGGTGAGGGTTCAGGTTAGTTCTGAAGGCTGTGAGCTTTAACAGGAGTGAAGAGCACACCAGGAGCCGGGCCTCTTCCTCTTTCAGCTCCTTCTCCTCCTGCCTCAGCTTTTCCTTCTCCTCCATCTGCCTCCTCAGCTCCTGCTGTTGCTCAGCGACTCTCTGGTGCCGGAGCTGAACACTCAGATGGTCCAGTTTGTCTCTGGTATGTTGATCGTCTTCCAAAAGCTCCTCTATCCACCTATCCTCCTCCCGCTGGCGCCGCTCCTCCTCCTGTTGGGTCCTCATCTGAACAGCACGTTCCTGACACACCTGCTGCTCATGGCGCCGGCTCAGGGCACTGCGAGTCTCGTGGTCTTGCTCCCTGCAAACCAGCGGCCAGATGTTGGGTCAGTTCAAGAGTCCCGTCTGAAAACACTGACGCGACCTACTGGACCCCTTTTTTGTTGTCCAACAAACCCAGCGGCTCAGCAGAACCTTTCTAACAGGTCAGGGTTCAGCTTCAAGTATCACAAGGTAAAATATTCCCAGTATTTTCTTCCTGGAATGTCTCAGATGTTGGTTCTAAGAACCAGCTGCAGGAGAACATCTAATCTGTAAAACCTCAGAACCTGCTGTTGATGAAGACACCTTTTTCAGTCCTGATATGCAAAACCTGAGAAATGAGAATTGTTTTAATTCAACCTGAAGTGAAATTAGATGCAATGAGCCATCAAGGGTTCCTGGGGTCAAACAAACTCTGCCTTTTCTGACCCGGACAAGCTAGCAGAACCTTGTGACGGACAGCAGGAGTTCAGACCTGAACAGCTGTTCCAGCTTCTCTGTAACCTGCTGAAGCCTCTCACGCTCACTCCTCTCTTGGAGGAACTGAAGTCTCTCCTGCATCCCGCTCAGTCGCTCCGTTTTCATCTCCTTCATCTTGTCCTTCATCTCCTGCAGGAGCTGCTCCTTCTCCGTCTCCAGCGTTTGCTTGAACCTGGAGGAGAGGTCACAGCTCCATTAGATACCACAGAACCAGCACTGGTTGAGCTGGGCTCAGATCTGAACAGGGACTAACCTGCATCTGCGTTGGTTGATCTGGGCTTGGTGCTGCTGTCGATCAGCTCCCACTCGCCTCTCCACAGCTTTTCTCACATAGTGATGTTTGCTGCTCTCAAACAAGGAAGTTTTGACGTCGCAGTTCCCAATGTCCTTTTTGTAGTCCAGTAACTGGCCCCGAACTGCCTCTCTTCTCCGTTCCTGCAGGAACTGGTAGTTGGGGGGTCTGGACAGGGGCATCTTGGCTATCTGAGGCGAACAGAAACAACACAGATGCACTGCTGGTATGTAATCTGATTACAGAAGTTACAGACACTTAGAAAGTTTATTTTTCTGAGAGAGGACTAGTACTAAGATAAAAGCTGACACATTTCCTGCTATTAGCTTAGCTACTCCTGGCAAAGAACTGTGAAGTGTTCGACCTGCTAGCAGCTAACTCTTAGCAATATCTGATAATATTCCACATTTCTTTTCAGAGAATCATATTTTTCCATTTTCTCACCACAGCTGTTGAATGAGGAGTCGGTCCATTAAACTCTCGACCTCTTCTCATCTTTCCAAACATCTTCCTCAAAGCGTCCGTCTATTTTCTTCGTTTACTTTTATGTTTAGGCGAGTTTCAAGCAACAAGCGAAATGTTTCAACAAGACGAACGTATCTGCTGCACGCGGCGTTCTGTTGCCATGGTAGCGGAGCAGCGCAAGTGCGCAGGCGCACGTGGCGGCGGCGTCGCTTGCGTCAATCGACGGAGAAAACCGAACCGCTCCCGACCAGCCGAGTGCCAGTCTGGTATGTAAACAAGGTCAGACTGCAGCACAGACCACAGACTTCAGGCAAGAGAGAAGACTCGACTTTAAACGCAAGAAAAGAACCAAAAACCAGCCTGAAGAAACATTTGGTTTGAGGTAAGCTTTAAGTTAGTGACGCATTACGATCAAACGTCTGCTTTCAATATACATGATGACGCAACGCAAATTTACAAAGATGTATGTAAACAAATGTTTCTGCATCAAAATAAATCATTTTTGCTACGTTTGTATGAGGTGCCATTGCACATGATGCAGATCTGCTGCAAACCTGCACAGGTTTGTGCGCAGTCATCATCAGCTGACTGCTGCGCACAAAAAACTGCGTGGTCATGTTTTCTGACAAATGCTTTCTGGGTGCGCTTTTTCTAGTTTTACTCATGAATCTGGTTTATTTTTTAACCCATTGACCTGCCATTTAATTTAAGCATATATCCATTTCAGCATCATTAAAAAGCGTTGTATAAAACACACATGCACCGAGTAGTGCGTGCATAGGACTGGGCCTCACCTGCACCTGCCTGTTAAACTGCAGAGAAGCTCAATGACTCATAATAAAATGGGCTGAAATGAATGTAGCATCCGCTAGAGATTTGATGACTGATCTTCGTTCGAAAAACGATAAGAAGAGAAATGCACAAATAGTAAAAGCAAGAAAGTCGTGAAAGAGTTCTTCCCTCTGTTTGATTTCTCAGATGCTTTTTACAGAAAAAACACTAACAGCTCATCATGATAAAATGTAGAACTCCTGCTGACTGAAATCATTGCACTATACATAACCAAACTGCACTATACAGCAGCACAATTATCCTTTTATTATTATTATTATTATTATTGTGTTGTAAATTTATGTTGCATGTAGCACCTTGGTCCTGGAGGAACGTTGTTTCGCCTCACTGTGTACAAACCGTATATGGCTGAAGTGACAATAAAGTCCAATTGATTGACTGATTGATTGATTATTATTATTATTATTGTAGTTTTAGTTCCTCTTATTTTATTGGAATTTTTAGGAAGGAATTCAGAAACGTTTATGAGTAGGTATATAATGACTGACTGCCTTTACAACATCATGGCTGCTGTGTGTGGCGTGCTGAGACAGAGCCATCAGAAGGAGATGAAGGAGGGTGCCAGCATTCAGTGGATTACAGAGTCCAAGCTGTAGGTTTAATGTATGCAAGTAGGGATTGTGACATCTTGTCCTTTGAAACAAACTGCAGGATGAAGACATGAGGCATCCATCAATTAGCGTGTTGCGACTTCATAATGTGACAGTGTGAGCGTCCTGTCACAGTGTCCCGATTGATCATGCGCCCTGGCTACTTGGCCAATTTAATTAAAATATAACCAAACTGCGGTCTTCTAGAGGCCTAACAACCTAGTTTTTAATTATGCTGTCACTAAACACAGTTTAAATTAGTAGCAGTACAACTAACTGCAGAAACTTTTACCATATTAACCATTACAAACAATAATCGTTTCATTTTTATTTGTGAACCTAAACCTTGTTAGCATTCCTCTTCTTTAGCTTTCTCTGAGCAGAAGGGTGTTTGACGATCTCCATGTTGCTGTTTTAGACATAAACATTACCTTCCCTCCAGTTCAAGGTCCAATTCCTTCAGAGAATAATGTGTCCTTACGAACAAGTCCGCTCGTGAAAATGTGACAGATCTCCATCTAAACATTACCTGACTGATCTTAGAGGTCATATTCTTTATTCCTGATGATGAGCACCGTGTGTGTCTGTCTCTGCAGGACTTGTGCACCACTCTGACAAGATGATGCAGTGTTTCCACTTCATGGTGGAGCCAGCCAAAAACTTCACGGCCAAGATTAAGGTCAGAGCTTCTCTTGGTTACAATCTAACAGCATGTTTAACGTTCAAACCTCTTTTGGGGTCACCTTGATGTTTGAGTTGATTTGAAAACATGTTTACCAAGTGGTTTTAGTTTGAAGTTGTGTGTGAGTGTTTGTGTTTTGGTCGTCTGCTGACATCAGAATCATGACTTGCATCTTGATTAGTGACCTCCTCTCCAGATTGACCTAAAGAACTAGGGAATGAGCACTGATGTCTGTTTTTCTGGAAGTCTCTTTTCCATATCAATCAGTTTCCCACAAAGTCCTATTTATTTGTATTTTTCTCACAGGAATCAAACAAGAGGGCAAAGAGGGAAAATAGGGAGCCTCTGGACGAAGATCAGCTGTTTGTTGTGGAGCTGGCAAGAGACCTGAACCGGGTTTGCCAGGTACAACGTTTAAGGTTGAGAAGTACACAGATGCTTTAAAGTTAAAGTACGAGTTTTGCAGTGAAATGATCAGAAAACAGTCTATTGGCTCAATTATGTTGGAAGGAAAGTTGCAATGAAACAGATTTCCTTCTGAGCCAGTTGGTTGCCAAATCTGCACCAGCTGACGTTGCTGCGCTGGCATTAGTAAATCGAGAGTTACAGAAAGAATGTCAGCAAGTGAAAGGACCAAACCAGAAGTTATTTCTGTTAATCCTAAAAAGCCACGGCCTCCTTTTGCTTTACTCTGTAATGTCAGGTGAAGAAGCTAACGTCGAGCTAACAATGCTAACGGTGAATTAGCAACAAATAGTCTGCTCTAAAAATTACTGAAACACATTTTTCAATTAGCTCTTTCAAAGAATCTTTAGGTGCTGATCTGTAACTGGCATTAGCCATGAAACTCACAGAATGGGAGCGAGAGGGTAAGTATGTGACCACATGATGTCATTCTTACTTCACGCCACTTTAATTAAATCAGTAAGGATCACAGTCCAGGGAGACAGTTTTTTGTTCTGCCCACGTCAGAGGGTTTGACTTTTCTTTATCATAGCTAAAATAACATTCATTAGTTGCGGGTCTCTATGGCAACTATTTGCATAGTTAACTCATTTACTGCCATTGAAAACTAAAGTCGTCATTAGCATTTTTTTTACTGTGTGGGCGTCAGAACGAGCCCCCGCACCCTGAGAACAAACATCCCAGCTCTAAAGCCGATCTTCATCCGCGTACGCCACACATCACGTGATCAGGAAGCACAAAGTCCATGTGCTAGGAGATCGTTTTGGGCCGCTGAGGTGAGGTGAGGAGCGAACCGAAAAATGCCGATCACAATTTGACAACGTATTATGAAAGAACAGATTACGCTCAAAACGCACGGATTCTTCCTGATGTAAGAGGTGAGTCTCTTCATTGTTTTGGTAGGTTTGGTGTTGACGTCATCATAGAGCGCAACGTTCTGTGACTCTTATAAAAAACTGTGAAAATGCTGAAAAATGCTGGCAGCGAAGGGCTTTTCTGATCAGGAAACAGCTGGCACTTAATGAGTTAAAGAGCAAGTCACCCCCTACCAGAGTCTGGCGCTTCTGGGACGTGGCACGGCGCTCCCCATGTGCCCACTTTCATTTACTATAATGGCCTCTATTTAAACTGATGGCACGTCCGCCTCCGGTGTGCAACTGCACTCCCACTTCCTGTTTGAAAAATGCAACAAATGCTGTTGCATCATATATCATAGTGTACCCCTTAGCCAATAGCAATGGCAGATTTAAATTCAAATGCATTGCAGAGTTTTTACCTGAAGATGGCGCAACTTTGACAGTTTTAGGCAGAATATTTAAATTTTAACTAAGATGCACTAACCCCTGCTTTCCACAGGAGCCGTCAGCAGCACGTTACTGCAGCAGCACGTCATAGCTGCTGATAGGAACCGCTGTGGTCAACAGAACCTTTTCCACTGGAGCCGTCAGCAGCGCGAGTCGGCCGCGTCTCAGGAGCAGCATGTCGCGGCCTTTACGCGCCGGTTCTATTTTCTACGTGCGACGCCTCTGAAACGGGTCAAGTTCGACATTTTTGGGGAAGGAAAGACAGGAAATCGGACGCAGAAATGGAGAGAAGCTCCCGATATTTTCAGAATAAAGAAACGTATTGCCTTCCGGTTGCTTTACTTTTAAAAAAAGTTACTGACTGTGCGGCCCCGTGAGAAGTTATCACCTAGCTAGCGGTCTCCTTTGTTTTTCAGGTCCGTATTGGCGATTATAACACGGACAGAACATAAAACACAAACGTTTTGGAGCCATGTTGTAGTTTTCTCCTGCTTGTTGTTGTGTGCTCGGTCGGTGACAGCTGCTCCCCTGCTGCTTCGCGTCTCGTGGGAAGGGCCAAGCAGCAGTTTACGCGAGCAAGACGTGCTGCTGCAGTAACATGCTGCTGACGGCTCCTGTGGAAACCCGGGGTAAGATGCCAAATTATTGACTACACGTGTCTTCAGCACGATTAGACACTTATTTATATAGTATATCAGCAAAAACGAAGTTGATTTGGGGGTGACTTATTCTTTAAATTAAATACATTAAAGGCATACTATGCAACTTTTTCATATAATAAAATAATATTCTTGAGCCAGAATGTGCTAGAATGACCCTTTACATGGTAAATGAAATGCTACTCAGATCTCCACCGCCTCCTGTGTCCAGAATATCACATTTGCAACTTCAGATTATCCTGTCCGGTCCCTGTTGGATTTAATTTAGTGGAACTGACATACCTGGCGCTGCAGTCTGCTCCCAGCTCATTTCCTGCATGTTTTAGATCATGAAAACAGCTGATTTGTTATAAATTTTGTGATGAACCACTCCTGTAGACACTAATGAAGGCTGAGGGGATGTTTCAGCAGTTAGATTAAGGTGTTAAAAAGACGAACATCAAAGAGTTTTGCCTCCATTTTTACTGACGGACACTAGGGGGTGCTAAAAGCAAGCCAAAACTGCTTAGTATCTCTTTAACTCTAACCACGAACAAAGAACATCTGAATTGCTTTCTGGAAGTCTTTAATAGATATGTTGTGGTTTATTTGGTCACATAATAGCTACGCTGTGCAATGAAAGTGTCATTGCAAAGGGGGAGGTTCCTGTGCATGTTTTATGCTTCTTTCTGTGTTTTGTGTCTGCAGAGATCAGCGGTTCTGGAGCACATCTGGAACCAAGATGACACCTGGCCCACTCCTCTCTGCAGGCTCTTTGTCCTGCAGTGGGCATCCATGCTGGAGAACAAGGTGCATGAAGATAAAACACAAGCAATGAACTTCTTGTTTAACAAAGCTCTGACAGCTAAAGTGTGTATTTTATTATTATTATTATTATTATTATTTTGTACAGAAGAGACTCGTGCAGACTGACGGCTGGCCAGAGACGGATGAGGAGAAACAGCATGATCTGATTACAGGACAGGACCTGCAGCAGGCCAAAACCACCATCTTCAACTGGATCAAAGATCTGAGAGCTCAGCCTGAGGTGGGAAGCACTAAATGCAGATAGAAAGCTTTCTGTTTTAGTGTCCTTTCAGAACAAAAGACAAAGTCATTATCTGATCACCTCATAGCAAAGTGTGTGGCCCGGAGAACCACTGGCAATGATCCTGGAGGATCTCCAGTCAGCCTGGCGCTGGGGTCGTGTACCCAATCTCCTGACTGCTATGGAGCTGGTGATGTGGACTTTAGTGTCTCAGCGACCCGATAAGGTGGGAGGCTGTGATACCAGGAATATCAGAACGCTTTCTGGGTTTGCAGTTGATCGACCCAAACCCTTATTATTTCATTTCACAGGACAAAATACCACAGCAGTGGCTTCTGTGGAAGCAGAGGACTCACAAGATTGGTTTGTAAATCACTGATGAGTCTGTTTTGTTGCAGATTTTCACATTTTAAAGAGTTTTTAAAAAGTTTTCTGTTGTCCAGGTGCCATATCCTACATTCCTCAGCCAGGTGAGTGAGACATCAGTGTTGTTCCACTGCACCATATCATTATGTTATTATTACAGCATGAACTCCTGCATAAATAACTCATTTATAGCTCATTAATTAAAGGAGGCAGTCTTCAGAAGATAATTTTTTTTAATTTCTGTGTCTTAAAGGGACTTTACAGAGTTTTGAATTTTTATGCTCGTGATTGCCCCCTCAGGCCAAAAGTGTAATGGCAGTTTCAATAGTAGGCTCGTGCATGAGGCGCGCATGCTGTACGTGCACACTCCTTAACGAAAACAACAGCTGAGACAGTCCTTTGTGTGTGTGTGTGTGGCCCGGAGGACAGAGGACAGGAGAATGTGCAGCTAATTAATTAAATAATTTGGTTCTGTACCTTTCTCTTCAGCACAGCCGACAAAGGTTTAAGATGGGTCAGTCCTCCTGCATGCTCAGATCATTCCCTTCCCTTGCTTGAAAAATTGTTCCAAAATGAAAGTTGAACCCACATCTTTATTATTTGTGAATTCAATGCCGTTCAGTGAGTCTCAAATAAAAATTTGGGCATCTTACTGTAAAAAAAATATACCATTAATGTAAAAAATAAACTCTAAATAAACTATGTTCACATCCTGAATCGAACATGGTTCTTCTGCACGAGAGTCAGATGTCTTACTAGGTGAGCTAAAGGACCAGAAACGTCTTTCGTATCTGTAATATTTATATCCTTGATGACCGCTGAAACAGCGTTCAAAGAACGGTTTGGAGTGAAAATGGCTATTTTGTTGCTAATTTGCAGGAAATATCTAGAAGAAAGTAGCTAAGGGTCCTCAGAAATGTAGCTAGGTTCATCACTAGGCGTTAGGAACAGCGACAAAGTCGCTGAGTTGGCACTACCTCACTCTCTGCTGCTAAAGCTACTGATAGCAAATGCTACGGGCTATGCCTGAGCGTGAACGCCCATGAAGCAGCCTGCTCGACCCGAGCAGTTCTCTTTTTCTGTGACTTTACAGAAAAACAGGCAATCACAGTAAAATGCCAGGGCTCATTCTACAGGACCAGGGCATTGCAGGAGAATGTACGAAGAAGAAATTTATTATTTCTATACATGTTTTGGCTGTCAAACTTCCATAATGCCCCTTTAAGTGGGAATTTATATAGTTCTGTATGTCCGCCTATGAGATGTGATTAAAACAAGGAACAAGATCAGATTTACTGTGTGCGACTGAAGACTTCCGACATGTTCTGGGCTCGTTTGTTGCGTTCAGGGCTAGCTGTTTCGTCATTTGTTTCTGTGAGTAATATAAACAGAGATAAAATCAATGAGGGGTTGTTGTCATTTGGGGATTTTTCCAGTCTCTATGATTGTAGAAAAATCTAATAATTGTATAGTTTCAGTTCTCCAAAATGAAAATACGGGTTATTATCATTTAGATTTGACCACAAAAAGATTAATCAGGGATGAGGAAATCTGGAGATTTCTGACTCCGTCATTATTTCATAGAGGAGCATAAATGTGGGACTAATTGCTCCAGAACAAAATGATCCTAGCTCCTGTAAATAGGGTTTTGGAAGATTTTTATTTTTTAAAAGCTACAGTCCGAAGTTTTCCACCCTTCAGGAGTTATCTGTGATTTTTTTTAAAGAAATTCTTAAAAATGTTCGTAAAAGCAGAGTTGGCAACATTGTTCATGGATAAGTGAGTCTTCTCTTCATTATCTATCTCCTTCCACTTGGTCATGTCTTTCACAAATTTAACATTCATTTTCACTGCTATGCCGATGACACCCAGCTTTACTTTTCCTTAAAACCCCAATCTCCACTTCCACCCCCTCCCTCTCTTCCGGTCTAGCTGAAATTAAATCTTGGTTCACTGCAAATTTTCTCAAACTTAACAGTGACAAAACAGAAATCCTTTTAGTTGGCACCAAATCCACCTTATCCAAAGCTCCCAGTTTTTCCCTTACTGTTGATTCCTCCTCTGTTTCTCCTTCCCTGCAGGTTAAGAGTCTGGGCGTCATCCTTGACACCACTCTTTCATTTCGATCCCACATCAGTAACATCACTCGGTCTGTCTACTTTCACCTGCGCAGTATTAATCGCATTCGCCCCTCTCTCACCCCCCACTCTGCTTCCATACTGGTTCACAGCCTTGTCACCTCAAGAATCGACTGCAATTTACTCCTATTTGGTTTACCACAAAAGTCCATCCATAAGCTCCAACTGGTCCAGAACTCTGCTGCATGCATCATTTCTAAAACCCCTGTGAGTCACAACATCAGCCCTGTTCTGCAACAGCTTCACTGGCTTCCTGTTAAACAACACATAGATTTCAAAATCCTTCTCCTCACATTTAAAGCTATCATAACCTTTTTCCCCCATACCTGTCTGACCTCATTCACATTATCTCTCCCATCCGTTCCCTCAGATTATCATCCTCTATCACTCTCTCTGTTCCACCTTTCCGTTTCAGCACTATGGGGAGCAGAGCTTTCAGCAGATCTGCTCCCCATCTCTGGAATTCTCTCCCTCAAGCCATCCATAACTCTGACTCGCTCTCCTCCTTTAAATCTAGACTCAAAACCCACCTGTTTCAGACTGCATACTGCTAGTGTCACCTTTTCCACCTTTATTGATTTTATTATCTAGTTTGTATTTTTAGGCTTCTGTGTGTGATTTTTGCTGTTATTAACTTGGTTTCTTTGTTGTTATTTTATTGCTATTATTATTAAGAAATATACATATACATACATAAATATGTACATATTTCATATGTAAATATATGAATTAATAAACAGCATGACAGAATAATAATTGTTAAACATTCAGTTTTAGCTCTGTTAGCTGGCTAGAGGTGCACGCTTGTGAACGAGAAGTGTTGCTTCCAACTGTAAACGGGGAAGTAGGGAGAGGGGCTTAAGGTGCGATACATTTTTCCATCTATAGATGGTTCCCTCTGAGAAATAACTCCGGGGCTGTTTCTCAATGTCAAGGAGCCTGGCCTCACAAGTCGATGGATGTCTTTACTTGGTCAGAGAAAATGGTTAAGTGGAACAGACTTGCATCACGTGATCGTGGCTACCGCAATGGTCGTAATGTAACGTTATATTTTATACGTATAAGTTTTCATATGACTATAATGAGCCTTTTACATTTTAAATTGTGTATATACTGGTTAAATTAAATATATAAGTGAGTTACTACTCGCTAGCCACCGAAACTGCAACTACTAACCAACCATAGTGTAAGCGGGTGATGTGTTGTGCGCATGTGCGGCGAACTTTGAACTCCTGGACTGAAGGGTGGAGTCACCAGTCTCTCTCTCCCGTGGGGCATTCGCGCGCAGGGAGTTGAGCTAACCGGTTCGGTAATAAATAAACGGAGACGTGTTCCCGTACTCCAAAGACATTTCGCCTCTTCTTTCTCTTCTTTTGGTCCTGAGACTACGAGCCGAGCCATTACAGCTCGCACGTTTACATTGGTGGCAGCGGTGTTTGGCGACGTTCACCCCCGGGACGTGGCTCGTGAGAAGGCTACGCAGGACCGCAGGACAATGTTCGGAGGCTCTTGTACCGGTTTGGACGAGGACAAGCTTGGCGCAGGTTGGACTGAGGATGTGTGTAACATCAGAGTGGAGCTGCCCGCGCCATTTTGTGGCGACGGGCGTAAACTATTCGCTACGTGGATTAAACAGTTTGAGGCTGCGGTTCGCGCCCAAACCCGAGGGGCGGGAAGACGGAGTTACACCGCCAATTTGGCTGCTCTTTTGCCCACTAGACTGGACGGAGCCGCTTTTCTTCTGTGGGACAGCCTTCCTGCAGCTACGCAAGGTGACTTTGACCGTGTAAAGGAGAAGCTAAATGAGGCATTTGGACAGAAACAGTTCATATTGTACTTCCAGACCTGTGTTTCTGCTCGGCCTAGGCTGGCTAATGAGAGTTTGGAGATATATGCGGCTGATATTTCGAGGCTTGTCACGGAGGCTTTTCCTGAGTACGACGCCAGGGCGCAAAATGGAGAAAAGTTTAGGCGTTTCCTCGCCGGTCTGGACCCGGGCCTCCGTGCTAAATGTCACGAACAGGGGGCTACTGATCTGGACGAGGCCCTGATTATAGCTGGACGTTGTGAGCGGGCTAGGCTGGCCTTGGCCGCAGGGACGCAGACCGGCAACTTCGCGAATGGCCCGGTGACCGTGGCTACACTTTCTCGTGCTGGTACCGCTGATAGGGGCTGTGATAATAAGGACACAGAGATTCTCCTTGGTGCTGTGGAGCGGCTGACGGCAAGGATGGACAAATTACAGATGGATGTGATGGATATGAAGGCGAGTAGCCGCGACGTGGGGGATGACAGACGGGCTCGTCTGTCGAACCGTGGAGCGCACATGGACCAGCGTCGTCCGTGTTCGTGCGACTGTGGTGGAGATGGCTGCCGATCCGCTGCGAGGGTGCACCAACCGGGGTTTCACGGAGGGGGACGCTTTTCCCGAGGAGGATGTTCGGATGGACGCGACGAGGAATGGCTTGCTCCTTCGAGGGGGTCCAAGGAAGGTTCACCAGATGACCCGGCAAACCGTTTGGGGAGCAGGAGCCCCCAGAGATCGCACCCCAGTGAGGGACCTCAGTGGAGGAGGAGTGTGAGATTTCGATCTCCCTCTCAGCGTTCACCTTCTCCAGCTGGACGGAACCAGGGAAACTACCGGTAACTGGTGTTGAGACCCGGACACCAGTTTTTCCCGCTGAGGGTCACAGTGGACGCTCATCAGTTGTGGCTGATGTCGCGTCGATGGACTACAGACCGATGGGTGAGTTCAAACATACATCCTATGTAAAAGGACTGATTGAGGGGGTAGAGGTTGCTGTTCTACTTGACTCTGGTTCGAACATTTCATTATTTTCGGAGGACTTCAGAACCTCGATCCCGGCCCTACGCAAACGCGTACTTGGTGCCGAGTACACATTTGCTCATGCTGTTAATGGACAACTTTTGGACACGCTCGGAACTATGACTGTTGCAATCTGTCTGAGCGAGGTTTACGTAGAACAGACTGTACATATTGTCAGGGGGGCTACACAAAAAGTTCTTTTGGGTCTTGATTTCATGATTGCATATCAGGCTGTTCTAGATGTGGCTGGGGGGTTTGTTCACCTTAAAGGGATAGACATTCCTCTGTTGCATGCTGCAGATTTTATCCCAAAATGTTGCAACGTAACTATGTCCACAGATGTCAGTGTTCCGCCATACTGTGAAATGGTTGTTCCCGTGCAGGTAGAACTTCCCCGACCCACGGGTCCACACATTGACTCTTACATGGGGTACCTTGAGCCAGAGGCTCGTGACAGTGTGGAGTTTGTGGTTGCGCGTACAGTGGCGCCGGTGAAGGATGGGCTCACTGTTGCGCGGCTGCTTAATCCAACTGACCATGAGCTACACATGCACACTGGGTCACACTTAGGGGTTCTCTATCAGGTTGACAAGTGTGATGTTTTTGAACCTACGGACTGTGTGGACTCTGGTCATCAGCAAATAACCTTGCCGGATCTATCTGGCTGCCGTTTGTCGGACACCCAGAAAGAACAGCTGCATGCTGTGTTGTACAAACATCAGGAAGTTTTCCGTTCTGGGCGGGGTTTTTCCAAAAATGACGGCAGGATCAAACACAGGATTAATACCAGCAACCATTCCCCAGTTAAGCAACGAGCTTACCGTACCTCTCCAGACAAGCGTAGGGAGATGGACAGACAGGTGCAGCAGCTTTTGGCTGACGGTGTCATTGAGGAAAGTTGTAGCCCATGGTCCTCTCCTGTAGTTCTGGTTAGGAAAAAGGATAATACGTGGAGGTTCTGTGTTGACTACAGGGGCCTAAATGCCATTACGGTGAAGGATTCGCACCCCCTTCCACGGGTGGATGACACATTGGATGCTCTCGCTGGGGCCACATGGTTCAGTACATTAGATTTCTCAGATGGCTACTGGCAAGTTGAGGTAGCTGAAGAAGACCGTGAAAAGACTGCCTTCACTACCGGACGTGGGCTGTACCAGTTTAGGTCAATGCCAATGGGTCTGACCAATGCTCCAGCAACCTTCCAAAGAGTCATGGAGCTAGTGCTTAAAGGCCTCCCCTGGCAGATCTGTATGGTATACCTTGATGACATACTTATTTACAGTAAGTCCTTTAGTGAGCATGTGGTGGCGCTGGACGAGGTGCTGTCAAGGATTAGGTCTGCAGGCTTGCGACTGAAGGCAACGAAATGTCAGTTGGCACGTGACCGTGTAGTGTTTTTGGGTCACGTCATCTCGGCGGAGGGGCTACGTCCGGATCCCCGGAACACATGCAAGGTGGAGAACTGGCCCATCCCTCGTTCCGCGACGGAGGTGCGTGCTTTCCTTGGCCTCTGTTCATATTATCGGAGGTTTGTGAAGGATTTTGCGCAAAGAGCCTCACCTCTTGTCCGCCTCACTGGGAAAAATGCCCCTTTTCTGTGGACAGCAGAATGCTGTGAGGCTTTCGAGTTCCTACGGAACACGCTGTGTTCTGAACCTGTAATGTGTCACCCTGACTTTGCACAACCTTTTGTTTTATACACAGACGCGTCCCAGACTGCAGTTGGAGCTGTGCTCGCGCAGACCTGTGATGGTCTGGAGAGAGTTGTTGCATACGCCAGCCATGCTCTCACTGCAGCGGAGCGCAAGTGGTCCACGTATGATAGGGAGCTGTGGGCAATAGTGTGGTCGGTCCGAAACTTTAGACATTACCTAGGCCTACGGCCTTTTACCATCGTTACTGACCACAGACCCTTACTTGGTCTAAGGCGGCTCCCTGTTGACAATGACCATACAGGTCCAGCATGGTGTGCTCTGTTGGAGCCCCAGAGGAGTCCCCCCAGAATGTGTCGGCCTCTGACATGCCCAGACCTATTGAGCCTGATGTTCAGGCTGATCAGGTCATGATTCAATCCCTGTCTCATGATGGCTCTGACGTTAAGCAGCTCCAGGTGAGGGACCCAGATATTGCCTGTGTCCTAAACTGGCTTAAAGTAGGCCAAAGACCACCACGAGGGAGAATAAAAGGTGCTGGCCGGGGAATTAGGATTTTGTGGCATGAGTTTCCACGGATGGCTCTGGTCGACGGGATTTTGTGCAGGGTGGTTGCATTGTCAGATGTGGAGCAGACTCGGCAGATTGTCGTACCAGGCGCCCTGGTTCCCGAGGTTTTGCGCCATCTGCATGGTGGTCCATTGTCTGCCCACCTCGCGGTTGAGCGAACCTTGGCTCGGGCACGCAGCGTGTGCTACTGGCCCAGTATGTATGCGGACATCCGTGCGTGGTGTGACCAGTGTTATGCTTGCCAGAGACGCAAGTCCCCAGTTCCCCATCAGCAAGCCCCTATGAAGTCCTCTTTAGCACAGCGTCCTTTCCAACGTGTTGCGGCCGACATACTGGAGTTGCCCATCACTTCAAAGGGCAACCGTTATGTTTTGGTCGTTGAAGACTACTTCACGAAGTTCGTTAATCTTTATGCCATAACTGACCAGAGAGCCTCCACCGTGGCTGAATGCCTCTTTAATAGGCATATTCTCGAGCATGGGGTGATGGAAACTCTTCATACGGACATGGGCCGACAGTTTGAATCTGACGTTGTTAAACTTTTGTGTGAAAGGTTGGGGGTAAAAAAAACACATACCACACCCTACAACCCCAAATCAGATGGCATGGTGGAAAGACTGAATAGAACCCTTATTGATCAGCTTGCTAAGATTCTACTGGCATGTGAGGGTGAGTGGGACTCTTTCCTGGCACATGTAGCATTTGCTTACAACACTAGCGTGCACTCCAGTACTGGGTTTACTCCTTATTTTCTCACCCATGGGCGAGAGGCTCGCACTCCAGTGGACATGGTGCTGGGCCCGAGCCTGCAATGTGGTCCCGGGCAGGATTCTTCAAATGAGTTTGTTCTTTCCCTGCAGAGACGCCTACAGACTGCTTTTCGGCAGTGTAGGGACAACAGCGTAACTGCCAGTGACAAACAGAGAGCATTCTACGACAGAGGACAACGACATCAGCCATATGAGCCCGGGGACCTGGTGTGGTTAAATGATCCGACGGAGAGCCGTCGTAAACTGGCTCCCCATTGGAAAGGTCCTTACAGTGTGCAGCGGAGACTGGACAGGGACAACGTGGTTGGGGTTACCTATGTGATCAGTAGCCCATTTGGAGATGAGGCTCCCATCCAAACTGTACACTATGACCGACTACGGCGCTACTGCCTTCCTGTGACCTTTCCACTGACTGGCCCGTCCCGGGCTCCATCTGTGTGTTTACCATCTCTCGGGCCTCCAGGCCTTGCTCTGTCACCAGATGGTTATGATTCAGGGACCTCGATTCCCCCACCTGAGTTTGGTGTTAGTTCCGGCCTTAGTTTGGAGGGGTCCTCTTTTCCTATGGGTACTCCAGTACAGGTTTCTCGTGCTGGGCGGTGTGCCAAACCACCAGCACGTTTTGCTGATTTTGTGATGGGGTAATGGTTTGGAGTTTGTATTTTCTTTTGTTTTGTACGGGTAGCACCATGTTGTATTTGATACTTTTATTTTTTTTCTACACTGTTTGTTCACGATGTTGTTCAGAAATGGGGTCATTTCTTTTGTGAAGGGGGGACGACTGTAAGCGGGTGATGTGTTGTGCGCATGTGCGGCGAACTTTGAACTCCTGGACTGAAGGGTGGAGTCACCAGTCTCTCTCTCCCGTGGGGCATTCGCGCGCAGGGAGTTGAGCTAACCGGTTCGGTAATAAATAAACGGAGACGTGTTCCCGTACTCCAAAGACATTTCGCCTCTTCTTTCTCTTCTTTTGGTCCTGAGACTACGAGCCGAGCCATTACAGCTCGCACGTTTACATAGCTAAGCTTTGGATATAAAAAAACATTTTAGATATCAGCCCAGTAGCTACAATTAGTTGACTTACATTCAAACCTGAAATTTACCCTAAAGTAGCTGCCAGCTTCTGATCCTTCATCCTTTTGAAAATACCGTGGTGCATTCTGGGAAAGTTTTGATCTAAGCTAGGCTACAAGGCACCTCCTGTGTATCCTTGCTCAGCTAGCTAAACGGCTAACAAATGGTAGAACACGAACATTGGAACACGCCTTGGCAGTTCCTAATGACGTATCTCCTAGGCAACCAGGGCAGGTCCAAGACACCAAGGCAAGGTTCATTGACATAGAGAAACACCCCAGGTTTGTCTTTTAAGGCTGGATGCGTCACATTATTGTAACAAAATACAGAAATACATCCACCATGCCACTGGGCGGCAGGAGCATTCACACTACTTCCATATCAAAATATAAAGAACATTTCATGCTAAAGTTGCTAAAGATTTACCCAGAAATTATATTTTTATTTGATAGTTTCACACAGAATCAAAGCTGAACGATGACAGGATGAGGATAAAGTGAGACAGATGTACATGTATGAAATAAGCGATGCCATTTTTTTCCAAACATTTTCAAATTTTTGAGGCCACACTGAGGCACCAAACCTAGTTTTAAATTTCCCACTTTGGAGTCAATGTTTTAAAACTTCCCTGTTTCTCACCAGAATCTCCCTTTTGGTGCAAATCCTGCAGATGTAATGCTTTTTGTTGCTCTACTGCCCTGCTTTCAGAAAAATAATTTCCTATCCTGTAGATGAATAATTATTTTTTCACGTCTTTGTTTTTTCCATAGTCTGGGACTGGATTGGAGATGCTGCAGGTATGATATGTTTTCAGTTAAAGCTTAGATCAAGAGCTGTCCGGATATACTAATCCTGTTATTTTCTCCTAAGTGGATGTGACCCTTGACCTGGAAACGGCCAACCCCGATCTGCTCATCTCTGCTGATGAGAAGAAGATGCGTTGTGGCTTTGAAAGGAAAGAAGTTCCTAACTACCACCAGCGCTTCGACGGCTGGTGGTGTGCAGTCGGAGTGAACGGCCTTGGCTCTGGCCGACATTACTGGGAGGCGGAGGTGGGAGAGCGTGACTGGCGTTTGGGCGTAGCCAAAGAGTCGGCTCTGAGGAAGGGCTTCAAGTCCCTGAACACCGACACGGGCTACCTGACTCTGCGACTGGAGAGGGGCTCCGAGCTCAAGGCGCTGACGGTGCCCTTCACCTCCCTGCCGCCCGGCCTCATCCCACGTAAGGTGGGCGTCTACCTTGACTACGACAACGGCCAGCTGTCCTTCTATGACGTGGACAAGCACATGCACATTTACACCTACAATGAGAGCTTCACTGAGAAGCTGTTCCCCTTGTTCGGTACAGTGGAGATCATGAAGGATCTGGTGATCAGGTCTCCAGCTGCAAAGACCTACTGTCTCTGCCCCACCTCTTGTCTGTGGGCTTAGGTGTCCCCCATCAGTAGATGTCATGATAGAGTTTTAACAATCCAGAATCACAGAAATCCTGCTGTGAAAGCTTCACTATGTGACCACTCTATTCTGCTTCTGCTTTGCCAACAATGCTGCTAATACTTTACCTCTATAGAGTTCTAGTGCTGCCCTTTGCTCACATGTATTTATGATAGCTGAGCAAAAGCCCCTTTGTGCAATACTAATATGTCAATGCACTTCTGTGGATAATAAATAAACCAAATCCAGACTGAACCTGAAGCGTGTCTTATTTATACACCTGTTACAGAGGGCACAAGCACCAGAGACAACCTTATAAAGAAGTCAACATCAGAGATCAACAGAGTTAGAGGAGAAATGAGAAAATATCAAACCAAAGTCTCAAGTGATGATTCCACAGAGTGATTTGGAAACATGTTTCTTCTACCTTCATTTGTTATTTCAAATTGTAGTTATTACATTTTACTTATCTTCTATTTTGCCCTATGATGAAAATATGAGATGGGTAATGTCCTGTTTAGCTTTATTAATGCTGCCTGTAGTAGCAGTTTTAGTCCGCCAGAGGGCGAAAAAGATCCTTAAAGAGCGAGTAACACCTAAATACACTTTTTTTTGCTGATGAGTGTGTAATAGTGCTGTAGACATGGCTGCATGGTGGCGCAGTTGTTAGCACTGTCGCCTCGCAGCACGAAGGTTGCAGGTTCAAAACTCGGCTGCAGCCTTTCTGCATGGAGTTGCGTGTTTTCCCCATGCATGCGTGGGTTTCCTCCGGGTACTCCAGTTTCCCCCACAGATCACAAAATGCCCTATAGGTTATAAATTGTAAGTCGCATTGGATGAAAGCGTCTGCCAAATAAATAAACATAGACATGTGTAGTCATTATTCTGGCATTTTAGTGCATCTTATTTAAAATGTACAAATTCAGCCAAAAACCATAATTAGTTCTCCATCTTCAGGTAAAATCTCTGAGGTGCTAGATGATGTTTTCTGTCCTGCTGCAGTGCACTGGACTCCAGTCGAGTCTCGGCCGCACCTTCAGCTGGCTCGGCCACTCACGAGCAGATATGAAGTGATACAGCCCAGAGCCGCTCGCCTCCTCACAAAACGCCCTCCTCCCTTTCTTCCTGCAGGTTTTTCTACCGAGGAAGGTGTTTATCCAACAAAAAACCACATTTTCTTATGCTCTTCTACTAAATCAGCTTTGGGTAGTGACCGATGAAATGGGATTTCTGATACAAGCGGCCAACATGAGCTTTCTCCCTTAGAGATAGATTGAGAAGGTTGGCCTTCCAGGAGAGGCTTGGAGTTGATCCGCTTCTTCTCCAGATCGAGAGGAGCCATTTGGTGTGTATGCCATCCTGGTGAGGTTTTCCAGGCACGTCCAACTGGGAGGAGACCCAAGGGAAGACTCAGAACACGCTGGAGGGACTCTCAGCTGGTCAGGAAACGCCTTGGGATTCCCCCAGAGGAGCTGGCCCAAGTGGCTGGGGAAAGAGAAGTCTGGGCCTCTCTGCTTAGACTGCCGCACCCGCAACCCGACCATAGGTAAGCGGATGAAAATGGATGGATGAATGATAGTTAAAATAGAAATATAATTAAATAAAATGTATTAAAATTAATTAACATGTAAAATCCCAACAGGTAGGCTTGAAAAGTCAATAGTAATCCCACATGATCTGTTTTCAATAGTACACCAGTACTTGCAACTGTAGGCTGCACAAAAAAATGTGCAAGGTTGCTCACCCTGTGTTGACCCAAGTTGAGTTTGGAGAGTGAGGAACCCACTAGTATGGCGGCAACGCCGTTTCACACTCCAGCAGCCAATGGGGCGTCTACATATTCATGTCTATTCTCCACCCAGGGTGTGACTTACCCTTTAATCTCTAAAGCCAGACATTTGGCTCCGGTCTTTCTCCAGTTGTTGATGGAGCTTCCATCTAGCGGGGGCCATCTAGTGGCGAGCGTACGTAACAGTCGTCCTTATTCATTTAGAGCTCTAAAGAAGAAATGCCACCTTAGAGGCTGTAGAGAGACAGCTGGAACTATTGTCAAGGAGTCATAAATTACAAGGCGACTTGGTGGAGACCATTCTCCTACAATAGCATTTTGCTATTATAAGCAGGCTTAGGAAAGCGCCCTTACCAAATTAGGACTTTTTAGGAATGCTTTTGTAGAGTTATAAGCAGTGGACAAAGGCCAGAAAGGCAGAACCACTATTGGGCTGAATGGTTCTCCATCGTGTACCGATGTCTGTATTTAACTGGACTGGATTGTAATAAACTTATCTTTTTTAACTTAATCAATTTCCCTCTGGGATTAATAAAGTATTTTTGAATTTGAATTGAATTGAATTAAACTTTGTCATCACTGAGTACAACCACTCCAAGATACAGGACCAGCTCAGCATGAAAATTAACCACATTGTCATTCTTAGGCACTGCTGTTCTGTATTATTATATTGTCAGTGCGCCCCAGGACAGCTGTGGCTACATCGTAGCTCAACACCATCAGTGTGTGAATGTGTGTGTGAATGGATGAATGATAACACTGTAGTGTAAAGCGCTTTGGAGTCCTTACTCTAAGAGGCGCTATACAAGTGCGGGTCATTTATCATTTATTATGTAGCAGGCCCAGATGTAGGCATGGGCAAGGAGGGGCAATGCCCCCCCCTAAAAATACTGACTGCCCCCCAAATGCGATGACATGTAGAAATCCCAAATTTGAAAAGATTTGATGAAAAAGGGTCAGACTGCTCTCCTCTCTCTCTCTCTCTCTCTCTCTCTCTCTCTCTCTCTCTCTCTCTCTCTCTCTCTCTCTCTCTCTCTCTCTCTCTCTCTCTCTCTCTCTCTCTCTCATTCAAAGTAGTTGCTGATTGTAGATGCATAGGGAGGGTGTGGCCAGCCACTGCACTTCGTTCTATTTCGTCTAGTCTTAGCCCTTAAGCTAGCTGCTATTGGAAGGATGATCTCAGCATCAGCCAATCATGAAGAGCTTAAATGTACGCCCACCAATGGTGGGCACCCCTGTGGGTATATAAGTGGAGCGACTCCACTGTTCGCCTCTGTTATCTCTTCAAGCCAAGCTTAAGAGCTTCCTTTAAAGAGCAATTATCCAAGAAGCATTCTACTCACCTACCATGTCCAGCGACGCCAGGACCTGCCGGCTTGCCAGACGGGCTCCATCTCCAGCGGCAACCTGCACGCCAAGTGTGAGGTCTGTCTCGGGGCTCATCACGCTGGCCTGGCCTTGGCCCCCCAGGCCTCGTGCCGTGGCTGAAAAGATCCGCCGGGTCGAGTACTTCACCCCCGCCGCCGACGAGGAATTTCCGGTGGCTGACATGTACTCGCTGGACAAGGCGTTACAGTTCTTCAGCGTCGGCCAGGAGCCGGCTGGCTTCAACCGACTGGACAATTTCATCGACAGTGAGGAGTACGACGAGGCTGGCTGCCATAGCCCTTCTTCCCTCCTGGACAACACGGAGGTCGATGAGCCTCATCAGCGGGTCCTTCTGCTCCACTGACTTCTCGCTCCTCCCTGCCAGTAGTTAGAGCACTGCTCCAGGAGCTGCCTTCCATCATCTCCACAGCTGCGGTCCACAAGGGGCTAGCCGTGCCAGAACTGGCCTCGCCTGAAGCAGATGATTTGGCGGGAATTTTCGGGGCAACACAGATGCGCTGTCCAGACCCCATCTGGCCACGCTTCCCCGCTGCCATGAGCTGCTGGTCCGCCGCCTTCTCTGAACCTGCTAAGCTCAAGGCGCCAATTTCCACATATGCGCCCATCACCAAGGTCGAGGGCTTCTCCAACCAAGGCTGGCCTTCCGTTCCTCCACTGGAGCCGGACTTGGCCTCGCTGTTTGGCACCAAGAACCACCTCGCTGGCCCGTGAGCAGTTCCCGCTTCTAAGCATGACCAGCTGCTGACGCGGCTCACCGATCGCGCACATCAGTGCGCCTTGCAGACTGGCGCTGCAGGAAAAAAAATTGCCCTTCTTGCCTTTGGCGTTTCCAAAATGGTGGAAGAGCCTGATGCTCCGGACGAGTCAAAAACCATCATTACTAAAACTGCTGATGCCATTCTCAATCTGTGCGCTGCTGTACTCACCAGTTCTGCTCACATTGCTGCCTGGCAGACCCTTATCCAGCAGGCCTTGTGGTTCAAGGCCCTGCTCTCCATTCCTGAACACCTGCACAGGGAGATGTTGGAAGGCCCCATCACCTCTGACGTTCTGTTTGGTCCCCATCTTAGGAGCGTCATCGAGAGGGTTCAGAAGACAGCTGAACTGTCAGCCACGGTGCGAGACCTGGTCCAACCTCGGTACGCCTCTCACTCCGGCCGTTCCTCCAGAGGATGGGACGAACGACGCGGAAACTTCAGGTGCCCAGCTGCACCGCCCGCCCCGCGGAGCCGGCCTCCCGCTTCGGCTCCACCTCAGCGGGACCAGAGAGTTGGCGGCCAACAGTTCCGAAAGAGCCAACAGACACTGTCTTAGCAGTCACAGTCACAGGAACCTTGCCGAAAGCAACCACGAAAATGACTCATTGGGGGGAATGTGTGTGCTTATGACTGTAATGTTAACTCTGTGAATGATTTTGGTTTAGAAATAAAACCCAAAAAACGTCACATAGAGCACATTCCTACAGTCCTCTGCAGAATCCTCTGCCGAATCCTCACACATGTTCCCCACACCAAGCACTGCGACACATCTGCATGTTCCCGCAGTCAGTCATATTACACGGCCAGCTGTCCGGGTGCGCTCCATTTGCGCACCGGCCCTAGCTTCCAGCCAGACCCAACACATCCTGCTCCCCCCACAACGTAGGGTGGGACGGGATGTCATGGCACTGTCGCGACCACGCGCGGCGACACAGTGCGCGGCTCCATCCGCTGGCACTTTGTCATCCCCATGCACGGGCCTGGCTCTCACTCATCCTTTAACTTTGGACTCCACGCTCCGCGGTGCGGATCAGCCTCTTCCAGCTGTTTCACACTCGCCCTTTCGAGCGCAGCCTTCCATGGGTCGCTCCCAGTTCTCTAGTGCGAGCGACGGCGGTAAGGGTACGAACCCAGTCCTCAGACGTCGTTCATGTGACCTTGAACACGTGTCCGCTGTCGGAACACGCGCAAGAATAGCACCACCTTTGTCTCATGAGCAAATGGATATTGGACACCATTCATTGCTGTCACACACTCCATTTTCAGTCCGCTCCTCCTCCTCCCTTCAATGGGATCGTGGAGATGACGTTTACGTCACA